CATCACCCCCATCCCCATCATCCATCCATCCATCCATCCATCCATCATCCATCATCCATCCATCCATCATCCATCCATCCTCCCTCCATCCATCCATCCATCATCCATCCATCCTCCCTCCATCCATCCATCCATCTATCCATCCATCCATCATCCATCCATCCATCCTCCCTCCATCCATCATCCATCCATCCATCCATTCCTGGTTCCCAGTGTCATCAACCAAAATCAAACTGGCCCCAGAATGTCCCCTGAGGGATGCCCACAGGAAGCAGCAGTTTCTTCCTTTCACTCTATGAGCTGTAATTCTCCACATAGGAAGCTGTTGCTGCTGCCAGTCAGATGTTTGGTCCAAAGAACGCTGAGGTTTGTTCTTCAGCGTTCCAGAACTGGACCAATCCCTGCAGGCCTCAGGAGAACAGATCGATAAATGAGACAAGCAGAGAAATGTCTAATTTATGGAAAAAAGGTTTACTGTTTAAAGTTATGTTTTTCTGTCCTTTGTCCTTCCTTTCTAGAATATTATTAAATTTATGAAAGGAAGCGGTTTTACTTCAGACTTGCATTTCTGATGTAATGGAACCTAAAAATGCTTTTTAAAAGAAAGAGGAAGTCACAAAGTTCAGCTTTTTGTTTTGCTTTCCTCCAGAAGCCGTCCACCATCTTTGATTATAAGTGATGAATAATTATCCCTCTATTTCATTTAAAGCAAATATAATATTTTGTGTTATAAAATTGAGTTAATATTGTTTCTTTTATATTTGAAAAGAACACATTTTCTAAATGGAAATTTGAAAAAATAAAAGCAAAAACTAAGGTTTTTAAATTGGCTTTTCTTCTCATATTTAAATTTGTCAAATTATCATATTTTCAAAATTGTATTCACTGTTTTTCACAATTCCTTTTTTTGATAATATTTTCGCATTTCATTAAAAAAAAAGTTTTTTCTTTCAGAATAAATTTTTTATCTTCAGATTTTTTTTTTTAGATTGTTTATTTTGTTGTGACATTTTCCTGATCACTTTCCTTTTTTACTTCTGGAGGCGGGCTTTCCTCTGCGGTTAGAAGCAAACACGCGTTTCTATTGGTCCGCTGGGCATAAGGAACACTTTTATTGGTCAGGAGCGAGCGTTTGGGCTGGAAGTGAGCAGAGCTAAATCTAAAAAAAGATAAATTAGAAAACATCTAATTGGAAAAAATAAAATGTAACAAAACTCTCTCCATATTTAAAGGTATTGACAGCTAATCTGTTAGGAAGGTTGTTTTGTTCCTATTCTGATCAAACGCTGCGATGAGCCGACGCTCGCTGCTCCGGCCTCCTGGCCCTGCAGACATCCTCCACTGCACTTTAAATCAGCACCACCTTATTAAAGGACTGCTTTTCAAGGCCTGATATTTTTCCCAAATAATAATTTGCCGTTCTTATCAGTGAGGGAGGGAGGAGGGGCAGCACTGTGATGCACACCAGTAGCAGAAGCTCCGCCCACTTTGCAGCTCCCTCTGGGATCATAACAGAAGGTCTTTCCCCCCTAGTGATGCTATAATAATATAATCTGTTTTATTATACTAGCAGTGTAACGACACATCATCCCTCTTTAAAGGTTAAAGCTACTTTTTCATCAAAAGGATGAACATTTTATAAAAAATATGAAGTATATAAAAAAGTGTTTTTTCAATATCTGAACCTGAAAGATCAACCGTAATACAATAATAATCACTGATTAATAATCAACCGCTTATGGTGTTCAAACTGGCTTGCTATGGACCGCTATAAGCGGATTCCATTTAGGACTGAAACGATTCATCTGATTGATACGAACACATTGTCCTTCCGACACTAAATGGATTTATATAAACAACATTTATATATTTGTACATGTTTTTACATTTGCAGTTTAATAAAATACAGAATAAAAGAAAAATATTTTTTAATTCAGTAATCTAAAGATTTCTCTTTAGATTACTGAATTAATTGAAAAAATTATAAATATTAGGGCTGCAGCCCAAAGATTAGTTATATATAATCTCTTGATTTTTTTCTTTCTGTATTAATCAATTAATGATCAGATAAGGTTCGTTAAGAATGACTTTTTACGAAGTTAAACCAGGTGAAACAGAAACGTTTCCGCTAGAAGACTTTTTTTTACCTTAAATATTTATATATAAATATATTTGTGTGTGTGTGTCTATATATATATATATATATATATATATATATATATATATATATATATATATATATATATATATATATATATATATATATGCAACTTTCTTCTCATAGTATTATCTCTTTATTCTCATAAAATTGCGACTTTATTCTCATAATATTACAGCTTTCTTTTCATAATATTGTGACTATTCTGATGATGTTGTGACTTTATTCTTATAATATTACGACTTCATTAATATTACGACTTTCTTCTCATAAAATTGCAATTTTATTCTGACAATGTTGCGACTTTATTCTCATAATATTGCGACTTTATTCTCATAATATTACGACTATATTCTGATGATGTTGCGATTTTATTCTGATGATGTTGCGACTTTATTCTCATAATATTGCGACTTTATTCTCATAATATTACGACTATATTCTGATGATGTTGCGATTTTATTCTGATGATGTTGCGATTTTATTCTGATGATGTTGCGATTTTATTCTGATAATGTTGCAATTTTATTCTGATAATATTGCGACTTTATTCTCATAATATTACGACTTTATTCTGATGATGTTGCGATTTTATTCTGATAATGTTGCAATTTTATTCTGATAATATTGCGACTTTATTCTCATAATATTACGACTTTATTGTGATGATGTTGCGATTTTATTCTGATAATGTTGCGACTTTATTCTGATAATGTTGCAATTTTATTCTGTTAATATTGCGACTTTATTCTGATGATGTTGCGATTTTATTCTTGTATAAAAAAAGAAATCAAATCCCTATCCTGGCCATTGTAATGCGACTGCATTGTTGTTAGCTATAGCCTTTCTAAACCACCTGGAAGTGTGTGGGGGGGGTCTGTAAAATGCGATTAAAAAGAAATCCAGTTCATAAAACTCGGTCCCACCAATAAATAACAAAAAATAACACTTAAAAAAAAATGTGGGAAATTAAATTTGAAAAAGGAACCATCTCTAAAAATATCATGAACTTTTTTCAAATTTTTTTTTTTTTTTTTTTTTTTGCTTTCAGTAGTATTGGAACAAATTTCACTCCGTAGTTTCAATAATAATTAAACAACAGAGCTTAATAAAATATATGAAATCTGATGATAATGTTAATATTTGTGGCTTTTCTTTTAGCTTTGTTTTTCTCGCTGCATCGTCATCAGATCTTCCCACAGTCCAATGAGCATCTCAGGACGCTGAAAATACGCCTCTTAAGTCTTAGTTTTCATCAGGTTGAACCATCTGTAGTTATTAATAATATTTTAAAGGATAAATCAATGATTCAGTATAAATAATTAGTCCAGATTTTATATAAATGTTTTCTATGCAGCAGCTTACTGTAGTGAGTTTGGTGAAATGGGTCTGAAATGCCTTTGTGTTTCTGTCTCCTAGGCAACCAGACAAGCTGCGGGTGATGTGGATCAGGAGAAGCAGGCATCACAGCACAAAGGTATTGCCTGATATTTTTGTTGCGCTCAGTTTTATTCACTTCTACCTGTTTTTCTTCTCTAAACTTTTGCTTTGATGTGTTTATTAGTTTCTGTTATTCTAACAATTCTCAGTTTTAGTTTAGTTCTAATACTATCTTGAGTTTTCTATGCTCTGATTATTTGTATGGAAGTATGGAGGACCAACTCTGCCATATTTAAAAATAAATACAGAAAAAAATAGATAAGCGTAGAATAATTGCCCCCAAAAATAAAATAAACAAATAAATGTAGGTAGAAATTAAATTATACAGTGAGACATAAATATATACATCTCTTTTAATTAGCTTCTTTCTTTATTTGGCTTTGTAATAATTACCTTATTTATTTATTGTCCGTTTTAATCTTTAACTTTATTTATTACTTGTTTTTTGAAGTATGTATTTATGTGTATGATATTATTTTTTATTCTTCCTTTGTATTTTTTTACCCTATTTATTTCTTCCATGCTGTTTATTTCTGCCTGTCGTTTTTACATTTCTGCCTCATTATGCAAATGAGGAGGGGGCGTGGCTTAGAGAGTCACCTTCTGCTCATTGGTTGGTTAGCATTTTACTGCATCGGTCGAATCTACAGGAGGAGAGGAGAGTCTGAAGTCAGTGGCCATTTTTCAATTCACTAGAACACGAGTACCGACTCGTTTCCACGCCAAGTGTGTTCCTGAGAAGAACCCAGGAAAGTCTGGACTCTGGGAGAACGGGAGCAGAATAGATCTGGGTCAATTGGAACAGAAGCGTACTGATGACATCACAACCTTCAAAGCTTGTTTTTATCTCTTTAGCTCCACAGCTGGCAGCCCGGCATCAGGAACCCCTACAGAGGCGTGGTCGTTTGGCAGGTCCCAGAGAGTCTGAACATCACCGTCACTCTCTTCAAGGTATGCTCCGCCCTCATCGTCATGGGAACAATTTTCTGTCTCATATGGATGCGGATAACTTGAACGCATTTCTTTGACCAACAGGAACCCACTGCTGAAGATTACGAAGACAAAGATTGGACGTTTGTTATTGAGAATGTAAGTCAGTTATTCACCGTTCTCTCCAGGGGGGGGCGCTATAAATTCAAAATAGACCTATACGAAAACCAGTCAAAGGAGGCAGGGAACGCAGGATAAAGCCTTAGCCTCGCTGCATGCAGTTAGCCTCGCTGCATACAGTTAGCCTAGCCTCGTAGCTAAATCAGGTCCTCGAAAAGGACGGTTCTTGTAACATTTCTCTGTCTCCCTCCATCCATCCATCCATCATCCATCCTCTCTCTCTAATCACCCTAGTGCCCTCTATGGGCCAGCCGTCATCGGATAAAACGATTAGTGTTAGTCTCTGACCCGATGTGTCATTTTGAGGTTGACCAATACCGGTGATGTCAGGACCGACATTTATTTTCTTTTTATTACTTAATATTCTCATCACTTAAAGCCAGAATTGCTTTTTTCTTCTCCAATTAAATGATAAAACGACACAGGTCTGAAAAATGAAGCTTTTATTGACAAATCAAACCAAACACTAAAACTTTTGGTTGCTTTTGCTACTTGCAGCGTTTCTCCTTTCCATGCGTTTTTGTGTGTTAACACCATTTACGTCCGTGCAGCGCGTTTGCACTTTCCTGCTGTTTTTTTCCTGTGCCTTTCATTTGTTTAATTTCTAATTGTTTGTATTTGGAGCATATTTATATATGCAGTACGTTTGCACCCCTCAACCACAGCTTAAACAACATAATAAACTATTAAAACTGTCAGACCGTAGTAGCCACGTTAGCTCAGCCATGTCTTTGTCCAAATACGTCGTCTCCTTTTCTTTTTAGGGCTTTCAGCACTAAATCGCCCAAATATCCAAGGCAGCGCGTTTCACTCTAGTGAGCTTCATGTTCCTCTTCTGCTCGTCTGTGGTTGAAGAGTTAGCCTGTCGCAGACGGGCTGACGTTAGCCCTGACCGCCGCAGATGGGCTGGCGTTATTAATCTATAATCAGCAGTTAATTCGTTCCATCCCGATGCCATCATCCTCCTGATGGAGGCTGTGGGAGGGGCCGGCTTCCTTCAGCCTTCAGTTTATCTCAATCAAGAAGGAAATTGTTGGAAAACTTAATGAGATTTTCAATTCCAGGAGACAAAAGGCCGCAGAAAGGTTTTAGCATCAGCTGATGTTAACATGAAGAAGTACGCCAGCAGCACGCCGGCTCAGTACGACATCACGCTGAAGCTCAAACCGCTCTCTGTGAAAGTAGTGGAAGCCACGCTGGTGCTCAACATGTCCTGCATTTTTCTCAAGGAGGGCAAAGCTACGTAAGTCCGGCCCAAAGCTCAGCTTAATCGGCTCCGTAGGTCCGGCATCTAAAGGTTTGCTCTTTTTCCCTCACAGGGACGAGGACATGCAGAGCTTGGCCAGCTTAATGAGCATGAAGCAGAGTGACATCGGCAACCTGGACGACTTCAACGACAGCGACGAGGAGGTCGGCGAGGAGAGTAGAGCCAGCTTTGGGACGGGACAGAGCGTTCACGTTGCTGGTAAAACATAAAAATCTGATTAAACTAGTAGATAAAATCAGGAGAAAAGGATTTTAGAGGAGGGGTGTCTGTTTCCCCTCTGCTGCAGCGCTTTGGGGGAAAACGTTGTAGAGTTAACTTCCAACTAAAAATGATGAAGCAAGACGGTTAACCCCAGATTCCACATACTCCATCCAGGGGTGGAATTAGGAAATCTGGGGCCCTATGCAAAGACATGCAGGGGGCCCCTCTGAATGGAGAACACATAAACAGCTCCATTCTCCAGATGTAGAAATGTTAATAGAATAGACATCCATTATCTGTTCTAGGTTGTGTCCCTCTCTTCTTGTCCCTTTTCTTCTTGTTTTCCTCTCTATGTTTTGTACTCAGCTGACTTTTCATGCTGTCTCTAAAGGAATGAAAGATTTTTTCCAAGCACTAAGCTCACTTAGCTGATTGCTCCTTCCTGTGTTTCCAAAAAGGCCAAAGTAAATAACCCAGTCCTTCTTTTCACATCGAGCTTCAGCCGATGGTCAGAAAAGAAGAAACGCTGATTCTGATTTTCTGGCTCATCCTTTAAAAGCTTTAAATTGTTACAGGTTTTTTTTTATAACAGATATTAAAGGATACCTAAAACTAATACGTTCGCAGTGATTTAATGAATTTAGCGTTAATCAGTAAAAAAATTAAAATAATTTTCGTCCTGATCGCTGAGTCTGTGAGCGGCCATTTTTGCCCAAATCTAGTAGCCCCTCCCTCCTGCCATCTTCCAGCAGTGACGTCACGGTGCGGTAAGCCTAGCGCCATTCTCTCTGCTTTCCAAGCTAAATCAATGGGAACTACTAGACACATCTGCAATCAACAACAATTATTGAAGATTTCCAGAGGACTTCACCATTGAAATTCACCAGAGCTATAGTGAAACTGACAATGCCCACGTGCATGGCAGCTGGATGCATGGAATACATCGGGTAAAAGTGAAAAAAAGAGTTCTTCCACCTTTCTGATTCCTGATCCTCCACGGACGGGTTGGTCGTTGGATTGCCAACTTGAAGAGGGAGGATTTGCCATCGAACTTCTGGCCAGAGAAAAAACCCGTAATATGTAGCCAAGATTTGGAAGAAGAATGTTTTCAAGAGGACTTGGATAATAGCGCGTTGTGACAAACACCAGATACAGCACTGGGACTTGATCAACAGCCGATACCGCACCGTGACGTCACTAACCAGTAGGTGGCAGTAGTGTTCTTTGACAAACATGGATGCCTCCAGTAAAGCACATTCACATGAAAATGACTCTGAATTAAAAACACTGATCATTTATTGAACAGGATGGAATCATTTCAGATTTAAAGAACTTTTAGAAGTTTGAATTCTGAATCACCTTCACTATTTTATTGTATTATAAAAATAATAACCATGAAAAATGTAGAAACAATTTTTTTAGCAGATGAGAACTCAAATAAAATTGAAAAAAAGGTCCTTAGATGAGCTTTATGTACTGAGGAAAGAAGGGGTCTGTGGAAGCTAAAGGTCAGAGGTCAGGGTCCCTCCCAGTTTTCTGCTTTTTCTGATCTTTGTTTCTCCTCCTGACTTTTCCTTTCTCCCTTTTCCAGGCTAGAGTAAAATCTCTTCTCCTTTCTGTTATTCCATCCCTCTGATTTTCCCTTTACCTTGGCTAGCTTCCTCAGCTTCCTCCAGCGTGAGAGCAGAAGATCTGACCGGGAGGCCTGCGGGTGAATCGGCCCCCGCCGGTAACTTTCTCTCCACTTTTTATCTTTTTTTCACCTCCTCTGTTTGGTTCTGCTTACTCAGGTTTGCTTTTCTGTCTTTTTATTTCTGTAGTCGAGCAGAAATGTGCTTTTCATTTGGGTTTGAGGTCAAAAGAAGAGAACCAGACAAGAATATCTGCTTTTTACTTCCTGGTTTTTAAATGTCGATGTGTTAAAAAACTCAGGACGTTCCACACTTTGTTTAAAAAAAGCCTTTTTACACCATATATATACACATATATATTCTATTCATTTTTTTGTAACTTGCATTAACTTCTAATTTTGTAATCTCACAGATAAAATATTTGTTGTACTCACATTAAATGACTTAAATTTATAAACTTTATTACTTTTTTATATAGGGATGCACGATATTGTGATTTTGGTCGATATCCGATATGCTGATATTTTAAAACTCATGTAGCCGATAACCGATATCGATACCGATGTTAAAGCTGGACAAAAATAAGTAGTCATTGAAAATAGCAGTTTTGTTATCCATTTCTGACACTTTGAAAAATAATATACTCAAATATATTTTCATATGCTGATATCAAATTGATTTTTAAAAACGTGGTATCGATCTATTTTACTTTCAAAATCTGGTGAAATTTCATCGTTCTGTTACAAACTCTCGTGATATTTTGCAAATTCTTGTGAGATTTTGTTAGTAAAATAGATCAATACCGCGTCAATATATCAACATATAAAAATATGGCAACATTTGGTGAATTTTCGGGGGATTTCGTAGCATAACGATGACATATAGCAATATTTCATTAGTAAAAGAGATTGATATGGTGTTTTTAAATGGCAATATATCAGCATATGAAGATATTGGGATATTTTAATGGATCAATATTTTTTCCCTCGTCTTTAGAAGTTTTTAAGTCTGTAAAAAAGATGTTTTTGAGGAAGAAGAAGAAGTAGTATTTTATTTATTTTTTTTAGACTTTAGAAACTCAGAAGCTGATCAAATATCGGGTTAAATATCGGTGGGGTGGCCGATGTCTGATATTCAGTTTTAAGGCCGATACCGATAGGGGGCCGATTATATCGTGCATCCCTACTTTTTTATTCACGTTATCTTAGTCCATCAATTTACGAACTCTTTTCTTTTGCTCCTATTTTGATCTTCAACCCAAATGTCTTTAGTGAACAACAAAAACCGAATGGTATTTCGATATTCTCCAGTAAACTGTTTCCTTTCATCTCATCTTTCATGTCTCGCTCAGTAACCTTTGGGATGGACGGTATAAAATCCTCTGGCATTTCCTCCGTATTAGTGGCTGCATCCCATGCTCCCTTATTTGAACCTGAAGGTCCTTCATCTCCCCCTGTTTTCCTGCAAACCCACACGCAGCCAAGTCCTTCCCAACAGGGCCGACCTTCATCTAATGTCAGCTCATGGCCATCTTTTTCACATGTTCTTCCTCCAACACTTCCAAAAATCTTTCAGTCAACTTCCAGATCAGGTATCTCCCCCTAGAAACTCCGAATTCTTTCTGTTCTCTTCTGTCTTGATGGCCTGCACTCCTAAAACGGTCTAGAAATGAGTAAAAATGTCTTAAATTAAGTGTATTTACACTAATTTGAGAAGGTAAATAAGATGATTTGCCAATGGAATGAGTCATTTTACTCTTAAATTAAGATCATTAGATAATATTAACTTGAAATAAGACAATGCAATAGGTTTTATCTTAATTGAAATGTAAACTGCTTTGTCTCGCTTGCCTCCTCATTTCAAGAAAAAATGCACTTAATTGAAGAAAAAAATGACTTATTTAGATTTAATTGATTTAAATTTTTTGCACTGCAATGATCTTACGTATGGCTGCATATTAGTAAAAAAATGGCTGAATAGATGAATAAATGTGTCACATAGGGATGGAGGTTTTTGACAACCAGAAGGCAGAGATCAGGAGGTAGTGTTGAGTCTTGCAGATTTAATAGGTAACTGAGGCAGAAATACAAAAATACAGATACCAAAAATGTCAGGGAGAACTCACGTGAGGAACCAGAGATGAGGAAGCAACAAACAATAAACCAGCCCTGAGTGACTGCAGAGGTGGTGTATATATGGGAGACTGAACCAAGACAGGCTAATCAGCAGATATGGAGCAGATGTGGGCAGTACCAACTAGGAGGAAGCCAAGGGGAAAGGAAAACAAGCACCAGGGGGCGACAGAGGGCAACTAAAGAACTCAGCGCTGGTAGAAATAAACTACAAAGACACAGAACACAAATAAACTTAAAAATAAACCAGAGCAGAGTGCAGAACACTGACAAAATGAGAGTTAATTGCTTTCTGGGGATTTTTCCTAACAGCCAGAGCGGGAGGTCAAAGTCGCAAATGAAAGAATCAAGGGCTAATTTTCATTTAGCAAAAGAACACGCTAGCAGCAGGCGAGAAGGAGAACAAATGTGCTGAATTCACACATTTTGACTTTTATTTGCTGCATTAAAGCTGCTGAACCAATGAAGAGACTGGGATCAACTCCTGCAGAACTGAAATAAAGAGCTGATGAAGCTCCATCTTTCAGTAGAAGCTCTTACTGCTGCGAGCTAACAAGCTAACAGGAGCTAGCATTCTTCTTCATCCCTACTCCAGTGGATATATGTAGAGCTCCCCCTACAGGTTTGGTGGGAGACAGTTCATTAGATACCAGCGGCTTATAGCCCGCAGTGTTGCCAACTCCTCAGTAAGGAAAGTAGCTATTGGCTATGCTATACGTTAACCTGACTCCGCCAGATGGATTTTCTCTGCATATCCATCTGGAAACCTTCCGTTGAATTAATTTTGGGAAGGGGCATAAATACTGGTTAGCTGATTGGCCTATGTTGGTGATAGACGGGCCAAATAAACCAATCAGATCAACGAAGCATATGACGTACTAACAGAGCGACGACGAAGACACAACCACAAGCTAGGCTAACTCTTGCTGCTGCAGGTAAAGGCTCGTTAGCTCAGCAAATAAGCAACATGTCTGCAAAGGATATTATATTTCAGTGAAGAAATACTCTGTTATTCCGATAAAACTTGCTCGATAGCCACGCTAACGCTAGTTTCATCGGCTGAAGCCGCCATGTTCTTTAGACTGAACTGTCGCGCTTCTCGTTGCGTCACACCTCAACATGCCTCAAAGCCAACGCTGATTGGACGTTCCTTTGGTGAACGGCTCCAAATTTTCTTTAACGGAGAGTCTCCAGACTGATCTGCGAGTGAAACCTTGAAAGCTCGCGAGATCAGGATGGTCTCACGAGGCTAACTATAAGTCACCAGAAGTCGCTGAATTACATTATTGCCTAATTTGCATAATCTTTTTTTTTCAACTTTTTTTTTTACTTTTCATTTTTCCCCTGTGGTCCACTAAGGAGCATTGTAAAACATAAACATTTTGAACCATACAATTTTTTACATTACATTAACATTCACAATCTAAATGGAAAAAAAAGACTACAAAGAATCAATGACAATGTGAGCAAATAATGGTAATTATTGTTTTTTTTTTTTTTTACTAATAAGATTTCCCTCCACATACACGTCATTGTCAAGTTGGTCAAGGTTCTCTATGGCAGGTTCAGCAACTGAGGGAGCTGACTCCAGCGTGATCAACCTGCGCCGTCAATCCCGGCGTATGCGCGCTGTTCATTTGCAGTCTGGACGGTACACATGTTGTGGCTCTGACTGCAGCGCTGAGAGGGACTCCTGCGGAAACGGTCGACATCAGACACCAGAAAAGTTGCAAGATTTGTCGCTAGTCGGTTTTTTGAAAAAAAATCGCTGGATGGGTCTGAAAAGTCGCCAAATATAGCGACAAAGTCGCTGAGTTGGCAACACTGGTAGCCCTTATATATGTACATTTCCCGTTTTAAGCCACACCCACAAAAATAATTTGTGGGTGTGGCTTACAGTGAGGTGCGCTTTGTAAAATATGGTATTTCCAATATAGAAACAATATAACTAACACTAGACTAAAACTCAGTTTGTACCTTAATCCTAAACCTGTATGTCCCCAAATAGTAGCATATTCACAGGAAGGTGGCCTTACACTGTCCTAATAAGGTAACAAATCCTTAGCAATATCCACACGTTTGACTTTCTACCAATATTAGTATTTTACATTGACCGCTTTAGTTAAAGGCATACTATGCAACAATCTTCAGTTAATTAATGTGTTCCATAACGTTTTGGATGATTAAATGAGTCATTTCAGGTCGAACAAAGGTTTTCTCGGCCGCCCTGGTGGTCTGTAGGGGAAATACCGTACTTGCAATTGTAGGAGCCCTCGGCCCGCACCCACAGGCTCAGAATTCTCATGCATCGCGAGCGTCGGTCTTGCTTTACTGCGAGAACTGCTACATACCCCCAGTGAAAGGCATGCTCGTTGCTAGCGCAGTGGCGATATTTGTGCAGTTGTCGTACAGGGGTGAACATCGGGCAAGCTTTTTCCGAATGGCGAGAGCTAAAAGAAAAAGAAAGCTGCCAGGCTCCATATTTACGACAGTGCACTTTTACTTTTGGCCTCTGGGGGGAGCCTCCCTGGAAAATCAACACCGGTTGCATAGTATACCTTTAATGCCAGTGGTGGCTGACCAATAGAGGGCGCTAGGGCACCATCGCACCCACCCACTGACCTGGATTAAGACATGAATAAAAACAAATAGAAATTACCTTATAAAATTAAAATATTTCTAAATATATTAATATTTGTTTAAGTTGTGCAAGATAAATATTTAATCTTTAATGAAGAGTAAAGCCGGGCATAGGGTGTGCTATTTTTTTTTTTTTCTGTTTTCAGGCCGATTCTCCTATAATGCACAGATCTACTGCTAGCTGCAACTCTCTGTTCCCTTCTTTGCGACAACATGCCCACTTTAATCCCTTTACCGCCACCTAAAGGCCTGGAGGGAGAAATTTAGTGTCTTCCTCTTGGTAAATGTATTGTGACTAAGCTGAATGCTTCTGCGATAAGAAAATTTGTCTAAATTCCAAATATATATTGCAAATGCAATTAACTGACCAACCCTATTTCTGATTAAGAAAAACCATCATAGGTTTTCCCGTTGGAATAATAACAGGCAAGCTTATCTGCAGGTTGGAATGTTTGCTTTATTTCTTCCTTCTTGTGTTTGAGTTTTCAGCTAACACTTTGAGCTCCATAGCTTCACTTATTTCTATCTTTTTCATCCCAACCTTCTCAAACATCCTGCTGCCATTTCCTGTGGATCTTAGCCCTGCGTAGGCCCCATAGCTTCCACAGCAATGGCCACTACTCGGATGGTTTCCTGGCCCGCTCTGTCTCTGCACTGGTCCCCTCCAAAGCCCGGTCCACCTCCTCTCTGTCTTCACCGCCGCCTGAAACGGCCCCCCACCTCTCTCCTTTCCCTGACAGCCCGCAGACAGGTTTGTTATCTGGGACCCCAAAACAAGTCAAGGCTTTCTTAGTCAATTCCATCTGTTTGTTTCGCATGGATTTATTGTGAAATGTTCAAATGAAGCAGTTTTATTTCACTTTAATTGACCCATTTTAGTTTGTAAAATATAAAGCATGTTTAAGTTAAGATTAGACACAAAAGGGTTTTATACAATTCAAGCTGTTTCATTTATTTTACCAGATCTTTAAAACTGGAACCTTGAAGTCTTATCGAAATCATATTTAAATGTCAAAACATTCTGGCTTAAACATGTATATAAATCTACTCTTTATGAGGCCATATTGTCCCAAAAGTAAACGGTAAATGTTCTGTACTTATATAGCGAGTTTATTCAAGTTAGGAGACCAAAGCGCTTTACACTACATTCATTCATCCATTCACTCACACACTGATGGTGGCAAGCTACATTGTAGCCACAGCTGCCCTGGGGCTCACTGACAGAAGCGGGGCCGCCGTACACTGGCGCCACCGGGCCCTCTGACCACCATCAGTAGACAATGCAGGTGAAGTGTCTTGCCCAAGGACACAATGACACTGAAAGTCGGAGTTGGGGCTTGAACCGTCAACCCTTCGATTTCAGGGCAAACTCCTACATCCAACGCCACTGTCGCCCCAAAATCCCTCTTAAAATCTGTGTTTTTTTTCTTTGTTATCTTCTGCAGGCCAGTTAGTTCTACGTCAGCCTGAACACCTAAATTCGGCCAATCATATATCAACGCTCATCTGTCAATCAAATGTTTTCGGTCATAGCATCTTGATTCATGTGTCGCAGCTAATATACGCAACGATTGAAATCAGAATCCTTTCCTTTCCCATTGAGTTGCGTCCCAGTGTTCACAGGGATGGACGTCTGTGTCTTCGGCAGGCGTAGAGCTAACAGAACTGGCAGCGTTGCGAGGCAAGGGCTCAAACATGTACGGCTGGAAGCCTTCTACACCAAACCAAGCTTCTGCCGCCCTGGCGTCCTCTTCCACAACATCTTCGTCCCCGCTTTCCTCCTCTAAATAAAAAATGGATGACGGAGGAGACTTATCCACGACCTCCGACACTAAACTCTCCTCCTCTTGCATGTTTCCGCTGTCCATAGCGTTCCTTGACAGCGTCGTTTCTAAGTCACCAATTTAGTGCTACTTGGTCCCAATGGAATTTCCCATTGGGACCCTGCCAGCATGAAGTTGCTAACTGGTTCGCAAGATGCTTCCAACAAACTGGCCACAATCAAATTTGCTTGTGAACCTTCCGCCACAACAATCCCGCCCCCTTGATAAAAGTCGTGTAAAGTCAGGCACCACTGGGAGAATTCGGAAATGCTACGTTTAGAACAGCCGCTTCCCTATGACTTTAAAAGTCAATGCCAGCTGCTGTAACCTTTGCCTAAAGTCTTCAATCATTTGTTTGCACACTTTAAAAGCCATGTTTAAAATAATTAGCATGTTTCTGAACAAAGCGTCTTCTTTCTGCTTTCCGCTGTAATCTTCAGATTTCCTTTTCCCTCTTTCCGCTTCTCACCCTCAGCTCTGCTAAGATCCCTCCCTCCTGTCCCTCCTGCTTGCCGTCCGTCTAAAGGTCGGCCCGCCTCGATGGTGGAGTTGGGCTGTGCTCTCACTACACCCACCAGCCTCCCGTCTGCCCCTGAGAGAGGTAAAGGTGCTGAGAAGCAGTGCAGAACGAGGCGTTTATCACCTTAATGCAAGTTTTCTTTTTTTAAGACTTTCCCGCCAATTTTCCCGCTTCTATCTTCTAGCATCTTGGCAGACCGAATGGAAGCCTCCTAAATCTCAGACCCCTCTCGTACAGCCTACTCTCTCCCCCAAGTGTCTGCGGCTTTTTCCAAGTCGTCTTCCAGAAGATAAGCTCTTAGTAAAAGAGCGGGAAACTGAGAAAACATGTAACGCTGGGCTCTATGTAAACTCAAGTCAGGCATACACTGAACAATCTTTTGCCCTTTTTGGGCCGATTATCCAGTCGTGCGAGAATTTTTCAATCTGGACGACTTCAATTCAGTTCCTTTTATTTCTATTGCGCCAATTCACATCATGTCATCTCAGGTCACTTTCCAGTTTACCAGATCATCCAGTCAGATTGATTCAAAGTTTTCTAAGGAAAACCAGCTGATTGCATCGACTCATTGACTCTTCAGCAATCCCTCACACTAAGCATGCTTGTAGCGACAGTGGAGAGGAAAAACTTCCTTTCAACAGGAAGAAACCTCCTGCAGAACCAGGCTCAGTGTGAGCGGCCATCTGCTGAGGCCCACTGGGGTTCAAGGAGACAGAAGCAGACGTAGAAAAAGAAGCATAGATACAAAAGGCAACTGTCAACCAGCTCCACAGGCGGCCCCGTCCAGGAAACACACAGCCAGGCAGACGAGCTCCGAGCCAGCTCCCATGTCAGAGGATGAAGAGAGCACATCCAGTTAGTCACAGTCAGAGAAACAGGACTACACTGGAAAACAGGCCAAGCTCCAACATCTAGAAACAAAGGTGTTGATGGCAGCAGCACAGCTAATATTTCTCTCCAGGATGGAGTCACAGCCAAACAGGAACAGACCAGATTTAGACGTACAGTGTGAGCAGGTAGATCGCATCAGAGCGTCGGGTCGCACAGAGTGAGAACAAACATCGTGAGCTGGGAACTTTTAAACTCTGCGGTTTCGTCGTACAGTGTGAGCCGTAGCTGCGAGCAACTATTGAAAAAATCATACAGTGTATGCCTGGCTTTACTCTCTCTACACAATAAATGTTTTTCTTCCATTTCCTGTCGCTTAAATCACACATTGAGTTGCTAACACCAGAGCATAGTCGACCATTAATCTGCTAATATTCGCAGAGGCTTGATGCGTGCTTGTCTGGTTAGCTTGCTTTGGTTTGGCTAACGTATCAGACAAAGTAGGGAAACAGTCAAAGCTATGATGTTAGAAGTTAAAATGGTTCATTTTTAAATATGTTCTTCGAAGGAGCCTGAAGTTTCTTTAAACACTAAAAGGGCTAACGACAAAAATCTTTTTATTTTTCATTTAAAGCATAGAGCGTAAAGTATTGAACAAATTGAGCCAAGTGTTAGCTTAAAGGTGATAGCTGCAAGTTCAACTCCTCCTGGCCAGTAAGGGGCGCACTCGTGCTAGTGGTTGTCACTACCTGATCCGTCCTGCACATGTGCGAACAGAATATTAAGATCTGTATCGCCAAAAAAACTAATAACGGTACTGAAAGTACATATTTATATACTTAAAACATTAAAGAATGCTAAACTACATCATATAGAACATTTTTAAGTCTTTTCCAGAAGAAATGGATACGTTTTACATTCTCTACATCGTACTATGTGACGTCATCATCGGAAATGCTTAGACCAGTCACAGTAACGTTCGAAAGGCTATTTAAGTATGTTGCTTTTTTCATTTTTAGAATGTGCAATATTTACGCAAATACAAAAATATTCAAAAGGAACCCCCCACAAAAGATTAAAAAAAGTAAGAAAAATTAAGTATTACCTACCCGGAAGGTATTCTGTTCACGCATGCGGAGCACAGATCGTGCTTCCAGGACAGATCGGGTAGTGACAAGCACCGTGGTAGACCTGGCAAACAGACCGTTCTAACAGAAGTTATTATTAGCATTAGTGGACTTGGCAAGTAGGAATAATCTTAGCTAGGCTAGCATTAGCTAATCTAGCTAATGCTACACAATGCTGCTTTTGTCTTCCAATCTGCGCCATTTTTAGCATCAATGCCTAAAGTACAGATTGGTACCAGATCTGCCGGAACGATGCACCTGCTGGTGGATTTACAGGCGCTAGATGGCGCTAGATAGCCTCGTGAGACCATCCTGATCTCGCGAGCTTTCAAGGTTTCACTCGCAGATCAGTCTGGAGACTCTCCGTTTAAGAAAATTTGGAGCCGTTCACCAAACGAACGTCCAATCAGCGTTGGCTTTGAGGCGGGTTGAGGTGTGACGCAACGAGAAGCGCGACCGGTCAGTCTAAAGAACATGGCGGCTTCAGCCGATGAAACTAGCGTTAGCGTGGCTATCGAGCAAGTTTTATCGGAATTACAGAGTATTTCTTCACTGAAAGAAGAGCAAAACACTGCTCTGGAGGCTTTTCTCTGAGGAAAAGATATTTTTGCTCTTCTCCCGACTGGTTTCGGCAAGAGTTTGATCTATCAATTGGCTCCTCTTCGTCGTCGCTCTGTTAGTACGTCATATGCTTCATTGATCTGATTGGTTTATTTGGCCCGTCTATCACCAACATAGGCCAATCAGCTAACCAGTATTTTCCCCCCTTCCCAAAATTACTTCAACAGAAGGTTTCCAGATGGATATGCGGAGCAAATCCATCTGGCGGACTCAGGTTAGGCGCTAGATGACGTCCTCACCTAATTTTCATACCTCATGTCATCCGCCTGCAGGAGATTCTGAATCCCCCAATTTTTTTTGGCTGTCGGTCAAATCAGACACAATAGCAGCGAGGAAGAAACGTGTGAATTTAAAGAGTTTTATAGCAACTTTTACAAAAAAAAGTGAAGAAAACTACATCTAATTCAGCCGTTCCACTCTCCATAGCAATTGGTGACAAAAATGCACCATGATGACAGCGGACAGAGAGAGAGAAGGAGGCAGGCTAATGATTGTCTCACTCAGGAGGACAGTGTTTGGTGCTCTTATGTCGCCAAAGTCTCCTCTAATGCAGAAAAAGAGGCTTGAGGTTTGGCACTAGGCGCTTTTTTTTTTTTTAAGTGGCTGCTTTGTCATGTTTACGTTTTGACATGCTGCTATATCTGTGTTAATTGTGCTTTGGTGCGTGCGAGAGCGTACACGAGCCCATTTCTCCTCGTGCACGCTCGGTTTAAAAGTTGCTGTTCTCATAGCTCATACAGGCTTACTGTGTCCTAACGTCAACCAAACTTGCTTGCAAACCTTCCACTACAACAAATCCCGCCCCCTTGATAATCGACCAATCACATTCACTTTATTCACTCGTGTAAATTCGGGCACCACTCAGGAGAATTCGGAAATGCAACGGTTGGAACAGCCGCTTCCCTACGACTTTAATGAATTGTTAGGGGGCAATCCACTAAATAAGATTACAAGATAATCCAAGAAAAAAAACAATTTAAAAATGTCTGGGCTTTTCCTCACACCTCCCTAGCATGTCTGATTCTCACCGCATGCTGGCTTTGATCTGTCCCCTCCTTCTCTTCCTCATCTTTTTCTTCCTGCTTCTTTTCTTTTCCCCCTCCCAGCTTCATCCTCTCTCACAGCTCAGTCTGTGCATCAGAAACAACAGAGAGAGACAGGATTGGTTACCCCTGGCAGCCTGGCTGCAGACAACCCCTCACCTGGTGGTCATAGACCTTCACCCCCCCCTCCCCTCTCTGTGGCTCCTCCCCAGCTTCATATATCTGAAACAGTCATACTCTCCCCAAGTAGGCAGGAAGCAGGTAAAAACCACGACGTTCTTCAGTTGTTGGTTACCAAAGCAGGATAGTATGGGGTAAAATTATCTCTAAAAATCACTGCGTAGTCGTCTGAATATGTAGATGGAAGTAATTATACCCAAATAGATTTGATATTATATTTGATAAATTTACTGGTACAAATCTAAACTCTAAATCTAAAATCGAAATCTAGATGATAGAGTTAAATAATAAGAAATGAAAACCAAACAAAGAAAGTTACTTTCTGCAGAAAAGTGAGAGAACCGACAGAGAATCAGACCCACAGGCTTTGTGAAGGCCTGGTGTTGACATGTCCCCACCAACTCTGACATGGTGTTGACATGTCCCCACCAACTCTGACATGGTGTGGACATGTCCCCACCAACTCTGACATGGTGTGGACATGTCCCACCAACTCTTAAATGGTGTGGACATGTCCCCACCAACTCTGACCTGGTGTGGACACGTCCGCCCAACTCTGACATGGTGTGGACACGTCCCACCAACTCTGACCTGGTGTGGACACGTCCCACCAACTCTGAGTGGTGTGGACATGTCCCACCAACTCTGAGTGGTGTGGACATGTCCCCACCAACTCTGACCTGGTGTGGACACGTCCCACCAACTCTGAGTGGTGTGGACATGTCCCCACCAACTCTGACATGGTGTGGACATGTCCCACCAACTCTGACATGGTGTGGACATGTCCCCACCAAATCTGACATGGTGTGGACATGTCCCCACCAACTCTGACATGGTGTGGACATGTCCCCACCAACTCTGACATGGTGTTGACATGTCCCCACCAAATCTGACATGGTGTGGACATGTCCCCACCAACTCTGACATGGTGTGGACATGTCCCCACCAACTCTGACATGGTGTGGACATGTCCCCACCAACTCTGACATGGTGTGGACATGTCCCCACCAACTCTGACCTGGTGTGGACATGTCCCCACCAACTCTGACCTGGTGTGGACATGTCCCCACCAACTCTGACCTGGTGTGGACATGTCCCCACCAACTCTGACCTGGTGTGGACATGTCCCCACCAACTCTGACATGGTGTGGACATGTCCCACCAACTCTGACATGGTGTGGACATGTCCCCACCAACTCTGACCTGGTGTGGACATGTCCCACCAACTCTGACCTGGTGTGGACATGTCACACCAACTCTGACCTGGTCTGGACATGTCCCCACCAACTCTGACCTGGTGTGGACATGTCCCCACCAACTCTGACCTGGTGTGGACATGTCCCCACCAACTCTGACCTGGTGTGGACATGTCCCACCAACTCTGACATGGTGTGGACATGTCCCCACCAACTCTGACCTGGTGTGGACATGTCCCCACCAACTCTGACATGGTGTGGACATGTCCCACCAACTCTGACATGGTGTGGACATGTCCCCACCAACTCTGACCTGGTGTGGACATGTCCCCACCAACTCTGACCTGGTGTGGACATGTCCCACCAACTCTGACATGGTGTGGACATGTCCCCACCAACTCTGACCTGGTGTGGACATGTCCGCACCAACTCTGACCTGGTGTGGACATGTCCCCACCAACTCTGACATGGTGTGGACATGTCCCACCAACTCTGACATGGTGTGGACATGTCCCCACCAACTCTTAAATGGTGTGGACATGTCCCCACCAACTCTGACCTGGTGTGGACATGTCACACCAACTCTGACCTGGTGTGGACATGTCCCACCAACTCTGACCTGGTGTGGACATGTCCCACCAACTCTGACCTGGTGTGGACATGTCCCACCAACTCTGACCTGGTGTGGACATGTCCCCACCAACTCTGACCTGGTGTGGACATGTCACACCAACTCTGACCTGGTCTGGACATGTCACACCAACTCTGACCTGGTCTGGACATGTCACAACAACTCTGACCTGGTGTGGACATGTCCCACCAACTCTGACCTGGTGTGGACATGTCCCACCAACTCTGACCTGGTGTGGACATGTCCGCATCAACTCTGACCTGGTGTGGACGTGTCCCCACCAACTCTGACATGGTGTGGACATGTCCCACCAACTCTGACATGGTGTGGACATGTCCCCACCAACTCTTAAATGGTGTGGACATGTCCCCACCAACTCTGACCTGGTGTGGACATGTCCGCACCAACTCTGACATGGTGTGGACACGTCCCACCAACTCTGACCTGGTGTGGACACGTCCCACCAACTCTGAGTGGTGTGGACATGTCCCACCAACTCTGAGTGGTGTGGACATGTCCCCACCAACTCTGACCTGGTGTGGACACGTCCCACCAACTCTGAGTGGTGTGGACATGTCCCCACCAACTCTGACCTGGTGTGGACATGTCACACCAACTCTGACCTGGTCTGGACATGTCACAACAACTCTGACCTGGTGTGGACATGTCCCACCAACTCTGACCTGGTGTGGACATGTCCCACCAACTCTGACCTGGTGTGGACATGTCCGCATCAACTCACACCTGGTGTGGACGTGTCCCCACCAACTCTGACCTGGTGTTGACATGTCCCCACCAACTCTGACCTGGTGTTGACATGTCCCCACCAACTCTGACCTGGTGTGGACATGTCCGCATCAACTCTGACCTGGTGTGGACGTGTCCCCACCAACTCTGACCTGGTGTGGACATGTCCCCACCAACTCTGACATGGTGTGGACATGTCCCCACCAACTCTGACATGGTGTGGACATGTCCCCACCAACTCTGACCTGGTGTGGACATGTCCCACCAACTCTTAAATGGTGTGGACATGTCCCCACCAACTCTGACCTGGTGTGGACATGTCCGCACCAACTCTGACCTGGTGTTGACATGTCCCCACCAACTCTGACCTGGTGTGGACATGTCCGCACCAACTCTGACCTGGTGTTGACATGTCCCCACCAACTCTGACCTGGTGTGGACATGTCCGCACCAACTCTGACCTGGTGTGGACATGTCCGCACCAACTCTGACCTGGTGTTGACATGTCCCCACCAACTCTGACCTGGTGTGGACATGTCCCCACCAACTCTGACCTGGTGTTGACATGTCCCCACCAACTCTGACCTGGTGTTGACATGTCCCCACCAACTCTGACCTGGTGTTGACATGTCCCCACCAACTCTGACCTGGTGTTGACATGTCCCCACCAACTCTGACCTGGTGTGGACATGTCCCCACCAACTCTGACCTGGTGTGGACATGTCCCCACCAACTCTGACCTGGTGTGGACATGTCCCCACCAACTCTGACATGGTGTGGACATGTCCCCACCAACTCTGACCTGGTGTGGACATGTCCCCACCAACTCTGACATGGTGTTGACATGTCCCCACCAAATCTGACATGGTGTGGACATGTCCCCACCAACTCTGACATGGTGTGGACATGTCCCACCAACTCTTAAATGGTGTGGACATGTTCCCACCAACTCTGACCTGGTGTGGACATGTCCCCACCAACTCTGACCTGGTGTGGACATGTCCCCACCAACTCTGACATGGTGTGGACATGTCCCCACCAACTCTGACATGGTGTTGACATGTCCCCACCAAATCTGACATGGTGTGGACATGTCCCCACCAACTCTGACATGGTGTGGACATGTCCCACCAACTCTTAAATGGTGTGGACATGTTCCCACCAACTCTGACCTGGTGTGGACATGTCCCCACCAACTCTGACCTGGTGTGGACATGTCCCCACCAACTCTGACATGGTGTGGACATGTCCCACCAACTCTTAAATGGTGTGGACATGTCCCCACCAACTCTGACCTGGTGTGGACATGTCCCCACCAACTCTGACATGGTGTTGACATGTCCCCACCAACTCTGACATGGTGTGGACATGTCCCCACCAACTCTGACCTGGTGTGGACATGTCCCCACCAACTCTGACATGGTGTTGACATGTCCCCACCAAATCTGACATGGTGTGGACATGTCCCCACCAACTCTGACATGGTGTGGACATGTCCCACCAACTCTTAAATGGTGTGGACATGTTCCCACCAACTCTGACCTGGTGTGGACATGTCCCCACCAACTCTGACCTGGTGTGGACATGTCCCCACCAACTCTGACATGGTGTGGACATGTCCCACCAACTCTTAAATGGTGTGGACATGTCCCCACCAACTCTGACCTGGTGTGGACATGTCCCCACCAACTCTGACATGGTGTTGACATGTCCCCACCAACTCTGACCTGGTGTGGACATGTCCCCACCAACTCTGACATGGTGTGGACATGTCCCCACCAACTCTGACATGGTGTGGACATGTCCCCACCAACTCTGACCTGGTGTGGACATGTCCCACCAACTCTTAAATGGTGTGGACATGTCCCCACCAACTCTGACCTGGTGTGGACATGTCCGCACCAACTCTGACCTGGTGTTGACATGTCCCCACCAACTCTGACCTGGTGTTGACATGTCCCCACCAACTCTTAAATGGTGTGGACATGTCCCCACCAACTCTGACCTGGTGTGGACATGTCCGCACCAACTCTGACCTGGTGTTGACATGTCCCCACCAACTCTTAAATGGTGTGGACATGTCCCCACCAACTCTGACCTGGTGTGGACATGTCCGCACCAACTCTGACCTGGTGTTGACATGTCCCCACCAACTCTGACCTGGTGTTGACATGTCCCCACCAACTCTGACCTGGTGTTGACATGTCCCCACCAACTCTGACCTGGTGTTGACATGTCCCCACCAACTCTAACCTGGTGTGGACATGTCCCCACCAACTCTGACATGGTTTGGACATGTCCCACCAACTCTTAAATGGTGTGGACATGTCCCCACCAACTCTGACCTGGTGTGGACATGTCCCCACCAACTCTGACATGGTGTTGACATGTCCCCACCAAATCTGACATGGTTTGGACATGTCCCCACCAACTCTGACATGGTGTGGACATGTCCCACCAACTCTTAAATGGTGTGGACATGTCCCCACCAACTCTGACCTGGTGTGGACATGTCCCCACCAACTCTGACCTGGTGTGGACATGTCCCCACCAACTCTGACATGGTGTGGACATGTCCCACCAACTCTGACCTCGTTACGTTCGATGTGGTAATTTCACAGTAGGCCTACACAGGTTAGAAGACGGATTTATTCTCGCCCCAGATATACATCCACGCTATAATATCAAGGTTGAAGTCATCATTAGTATGACTTCAGTGAATCTGGATCCAACTGATTTAAAACATTTATAAATTACCGCATGTTGTCCGACAACTTAGTCTAACTTCACTTGCGCCTCTTCTCCTGTTAATACGGTAAAGCCCTGGGGAGCGTCCGGCTCCAGGCTGCACGTGATCCAAATGAGCCAATGAGCTGTCAGTCTGGGTTGCTGCTGCTGCTACTTTTAGACACAGCAGGCAAACCTGTGGCAAGCCGGGCGATGGGAAAGAAGGAGAAGACCATGAGAAAAAGAGAGCAGAGAAAGTGTGGACTGCTGGAAGAACTGCGGTGAACTGGGGAAAGAAAAGTGAAATGGCGTGCTCAAAGATGACCCTGCACATTTAGAGGATGTTTGGCTCAACCTGCTGCTGTGAAGCAGGATTCTCCACCATGAACAGAATCAACAATAAATCTGGATCCAGGCTCAAAATGAGCTCCTTGATATGTGCTTGAGAATGGCTTAGTCTCTGGTTAAACCCAGGTTTAAAGCCTTGCAGGGCAGCCTAAAGCCCACTGCCAACATTAAGACAGAAAAAAGAAAGAAAATAACAAACCATCAGTTCAGGGGTTTAAGAAAATATGGGAATCAGGAAAGTATCTATAAACCAAACTGAACGATTGTTGTTCTCTACTTCAAAAAAGCATTTTAGATTTTAAAATGGAAAAATTTTCTTTTTTTTAATTTAAAAATTCAGTGTATATAATGGATGCATAAACATCTGCATTTTATTTCAGTGCTAAATTCTGTTTAAAGTAACAGATTATGTTTAAAAATGTCTCCAGACCTTTACTGGTTGATTATTTTCTTTATTCGGACCCCAGTGATTTTTAATTGGTTACCAGCTGTGAAAATAGATTAGCAGCCTTTTTTTTATCACCCTATAAGAGCATTAAGGAAGTGCATTAACGTCAATAAAGGCCCAAGCCTAGATATAACACATATCTAGCAGCTAAAAACAAGGAGCAAATACAGATATTACATTTATTTATATTGTCTTTTGTTAACAAATTCAGACACTTGCCAATTTGTTTAAATTGACAGTTATCTGTGGGAAGAATTCGGAGCTGATCACCAACATCCACCCATTTAGTAAAACGTGTTGCGTTTCTTTCTGTGCTTCTCAGAGTTCAAGAGGCAGCTGAGCACGTTGCGTGAAGAGGAGAACCAATGTTCAGGACCTGCAGGAGCAAACCTGACGACAGACGCCTCCACGGCTTTGGGCCGGAGAAAAGATGCAGCGGCTGGAGTGGAGGGCATCCAGGCATCTGCAGGGTAAGCATGGAGGCTGGTGGAGTTTTCTCCAGGGGGCGCTATAACGCTAAAATACACGTACAACAAAAATCTATCAAATGTATACTAAGTTATCACACCAGTGTATTCAGAATTCAAACTTTAAATCTGAAATGATTCCATCCTGTTCAATAAATGATCAGTGTTTTTAATTCAGATTAATTTTCATGTGAATGTGCTTTACTAGAAGCATCCATGTTTGTCAAAGAACACTACTGCCACCTACTGGTTTGTGACGTCACGGTGCGGTATCGGCTGTTGATCAAGTCCCAGTGCTGTATCTGGTGTTTGTCACAACGCGCTATTATTCAAGTCATCTTGAAAACATTCTTCTTCCAAATGTTGGCTACATATTACGGGTTTTTTCTCTGGCCAGAAGTTCGATGGCAAATCCTCCCTCTTCAAGTTGGCGATCCAACGTAATGTGACTAAAATTTAGTTCCTCTGCGATGTGAAAATTGCATTTTGCTAAGTTGTACGGTGGCCCTGAATTGCAAACTGCAACTACAAATCTAAAAGCGCAACTACATTAAGGAAATCCCAACTACATAAAGCACAGCACAACTACATTAAGAAAAACAAAACTACATAAAGCAAAGCGCAACTACATTAAGAAAAACAAAACTACATAAAGCAAAGCGCAACTACATAAAGCAAAGCGCAACTACATTAAGGAAAACAAAACTACATATAGCAAAGCGCAACTACATTAAGGAAAACAAAACTACATGAAGCAAAGCGCAACTACATTAAGGAAAACAAAACTACATGAAGCAAAGCGCAACTACATTAACAAAAACTAAACTACATAAAGCAAAGCGCAACTACATAAAGCAAAGCGCAACTACATTAAGGAAAACAAAACTACATAAAGCAAAGCGCAACTACATTAAGGAAATCGCAACTACATAAAGCAAAGCGCAACTACATTAAAAAAAACAAAACTACATGAAGCAAAGCGCAACTACATTAAGGAAATCTCAACTACATAAAGCAAAGCGCAACTACATTAAGGAAATCCCAACTACATAAAGCAAAGCGCAACTACATTAAGAAAAACAAAACTACATAAAGCAAAGCGCAACTACATTAAGGAAATCGCAACTACATAAAGCAAAGTGCAACTACATTAAGGAAAACGCAAACTACATAAAGCAAAGTGCAACTACATTAAGGAAATCGCAACTACATAAAGCAAAGTGCAACTACATTAAGAATAACAAAACTACATAAAGCAAAGCGCAACTACATTAAGGAAAACAAAACTACATAAAGCAAAGCGCAACTACATAAAGCAAAGCGCAACTACATTAAGGAAAACAAAACTACATAAAGCAAAGCGCAACTACATTAAGGAAATCGCAACTACATAAAGCAAAGCGCAACTACATTAAGAAAAACAAAACTACATAAAGCAAAGCGCAACTACATTAAGGAAATCGCAACTACATAAAGCAAAGCGCAACTACATTAAGAAAAACAAAACTACATGAAGCAAAGCGCAACTACATTAAGGAAATCCCAACTACATAAAGCAAAGCGCAACTACATTAAGAAAAACAAAACTACATAAAGCAAAGCGCAACTACATTAAGGAAATCGGAACTACATAAAGCAAAGTGCAACTACATTAAGGAAAACGCAAACTACATAAAGCAAAGTGAAACTACATTAAGGAAATCGCAACTACATAAAGCAAAGTGCAACTACATTAAGAAAAACAAAACTACATAAAGCAAAGCGCAACTACATTAAGGAAAACAAAACTACATAAAGCAAAGCGCAACTACATAAAGCAAAGCGCAACTACATAAAGCAAAGCACAACTACATTAAGAAAAACAAAACTACATAAACAAAGCGCAACTACATTAAGGAAATCGCAACTACATAAAGCAAAGCGCAACTACATTAACGCTAACGCTAGTTTCAGCCGCCATGTTCTTTAGACTGAACTGTCGCGCTTCTCGTTGCATCCCGCCTCAAAGCCAACGCTGATTGGACGTTCGTTTGGTGAACGGCTCCAAATTTTCTTTAACGGAGAGTCTCCAGACTGATCTGCGAGTGAAACCTTGAAAGCTCGCGAGATCAGGATGGTCTCACGAGGCTAAAATATGACGGGCTTTTAAGTAATGAACAGGGATGGGAGGCTGCAGACTTATTTCTCCTCCGTCTCTGTCTCAGCCACAGGATGTGATGATTGGATGTCGGGCTCACTTTGGTATTTTTGGGTCCCCAAAATTAGTCATCAATTTGATAAATTTGTGATTCTTACTTGTTAATTTCCGATTCATACTTTTAAAAATAAAACAAGGAAATAAAAAAAGCAAAGTCAGCTGTTAAGCAAAGCTCTGTGTTTCCACCTTGAAGCTTTCTCTCTCCGGTTCTTTTCCTGAGAAGAGATCAGTCTGGACAAACTCTTTAAATAACACTTCATAATATTTATGTATTAAATAACCAGGAGATTTTGACAGAAATTGTAATATTAGTCGGATCAGAGAATGCTCTGGCTCTATTTCACTGTCTTAAATTCGGCGTCTAAATTCAGTGTAAAAAGGGAAGGGTTACTTCAGGTCACAGACGTTAGCAATGGATTGTGGCATCCAACACCCAGCCAATCCCGTTACGGTTTCTTAGTCACGTGACGTGACGCTTGTGGCGCTCATACTGTAGGTAAACCAGCATGACGGAGCCGGTCACGCAAGCTAACGCTAACTCAACTACAGAAAAATGAAAGTAATAAACTCACCGTTGAGTTAGCGTTAGCTTACATAACCGGCTCAGTGATGCTGGTTTTCCTTCAGTATGAGCGCCGCAAGCGTCACGTCACGTGACTAAGACACCGTAACGGGATTGGCTGGGTGTTGGATGCCACAATCCATTGCTAACGTCTGTGACCTGAAGTAACCCTTCCCTTTTTACACTGAATTTAGACGCCGAATTTAAGACGGTGAAATAGAGCCAGTTGAATCTCAGGAGGCTGAAAATATTGAGTTTGAATTTTGAAAGGTTGAATTTTTTTATATGCTGATTTTTTAACACTGAAAAATTTAACTAAAAAATAAGTATTGAAATCACTTTGAAATAATAATGTGAATTTTTAGCTTGAAGAGAAAATAACAAATGAAATTTCAACTGTAGAAATAATGACAATTAATTTTTTTTACGTAAAAAATGTGTTCTGAATATATTTTAACACTGAAACAGTAAGTACAAACATACAACATTTAAATGTCAGTGGCATCAGATGCATTCCATAAGTGTGCGCCATAAGTTCCAGGTAAGTTATCGGATTGTTGACATACATTAAGTCTAAATTACTCATAAGTCGTGGCGTCTAGCTTATTATACACCTATAAGTAACTTTAGATTTAGATTTACAGTGAAAATTACAGATATAAAAAGAAATAAAAACAGCTATTACTCTTCCAAACTGGTTTATAAACACAGAATTTAAGTCGTAGGAAGTCATATTTAAAAGTCGAAACATTCTGGCTTAAACATTATATAAGTGCACTCTTTATTACCATATATTCTATCATAATATGAGGAAAATAATGACATTAAAAGAACCAGAGATGTGTTTTTAGAACTATTTATGGAGTTTGGATGTTGGAAGACAGCAGAGATGCAGTTTGCAGATCCCTCTGAGCAATTTCTCTTGGTCGGTTTGTGAAACATTTGCTTTCTGACTCCGTTTCCAGAAGCCTGAATGTCAGAATGTGGCACTCGAGTCCAGACGTGCCGCTGTGGTTAAGTGTTAGTGAGAGGTGGGTGAACCGGTTTGAAGTGAAGCATTTTCAGCCTCCCCCTGCTGGCTTCTCCTTAGCTTCCTTCTAAATGTCAGCAGTGTTTGATGCCGTCCTAAACGCCGCCTTGATTCTCTCATTGTTCTTCCAGCCCTGCGCCTCAGAAGAAAACTGAAGAAACAGACAATACTTTTGTTATTATAGAGTCGTTGAGTTACTCTGCTTTTGAACAAGAACGTGTAAAACATGGAGACAGTAGGTGAGTCCAAATTGGCATGAACGAAGCAACAGATGTGGCATGGATTTACTAAACTCACCACCACCAACACTAACCCATGCATGAGCCTAGAAGAGCAAATACTCCTAACAGATGCTGCAAATAGCTCCTAAAGCCGGGCATATACTATTTTTTTCAATCGTCGCTACAGCTCACACTGTACGACGAAACCGCAGGGTTTAAAAGTTCCCAGCTCACCATGTTTGTTCTCACTGTGCGACCTGACGCTCTGATGCGATCTACCTGCTCACACTGTACGTCTAAAAACCAGATGGGACTCAGCTCCACAGTGAGATGGCGCTACTCGGACTCGTCTATCCGGAAACGAGTAGAAGAGGAACATGAAGCTCACTAGAAACGCGTAATTTGGGCAATTTTGTGCTGAAAGTCCTAAAAAGAAAAGGAGACGACGTATTTGGACAAAGACATGGCTGAGCAAACGTGGCTACTACGGTCTGTCAGTTTTACAGAGAGAACTCCATGTCTCTCATTGCACCCCCACCATGCTGCTGAGTTTTCCTCTGAGAGGAAGAAGAAGAAGAAGAAGAATCCTTGTTTGCGGACTGAGCGATTTGCCCACGACCACCTTACGACGTATTTGATTTTCTCCCGACCTTAAGATTCCCTATTGGGAGGTGGTTGTTAAAAGCTGATGCACGATGTCCGCTCGAAAAATTCTCGCACGACTGGAAAATCGTCCCGAAAAGGGAAAAAAAATCAAGACAGTGTAAGCCCGGCTTTACAGAACTCATCCAAGCTGCTCCAGATGCCGTTTATTGTTGTTGGTACGTTTCTTTGCCTGTGCCATAAAAGTGCTGTTTTGAAGAAACGGATCGCAATATTGCCCACTCGATTTTGCTTCGACGCAGAGCCTTGAAAAAGGATGAAAATATTTTGATGCTTGTTGTATTTTGTAGCAGGAAAAAACTATAAAATGTAGTCCTGCCAGGACTGTAGTCATATTCCAAAACATCCAGTTTGGTGGGTGGCCGATAGGGGGCACTAAACCTGGAAGTTTCAGGTCTACCTGCCCTAGTGGCTAAAAGTTACACTTTAAATTGAAATTTTGAACCTAAGTAACGAAATACCTTTGTTTGAAAACTACAGATTTAAGTTAAGTGTAAATTGTTTTAGTTCGTCAGGTTTATCGTACGATCCTAGAAGATCGGGATCAGAATATGCTTCCATATGGTGTAATGTTTAGCTAGGACCAGGCATTGATAATAACACTGGTGCTTTGCTTGTATTTAATGCAATTCACTTATATTTAATTCAATCATGCCCCATAAATTTGTAACGCATGGCAACAAGGAACCAAAAGTTTAGCCCCACACAAACGATTTGCGTTTGGTCATAGTCTGTTGTTCTAGGCCAGACTGACGCTTGGTGAGTTTTTAAAGGAAAAGTCCGGTTAGCAAGGAATAATCAATGGATCATTATTTATACCTAAAACTAATATGTTTCTGGTGATTTTAATGAATTTAGCATCATCAGCATCATTAAGAAAATAAAAACGATCACACAGTCTGTGAGCGGCCATTTTTGCCCAAATATAGTAGCCCCTCCCTCCTGCCATCTTCCAGCAGTGACGTCACGGTGCGGTAAGCCTAGCGCCATTCTCTCCGCTTTCCAAGCTAAATCAATGGGAACTACTAGACACATCTGCAATCAACAACAATTATTGAAGATTTCCAGAGGACTTCACCATTGAAATTCACCAGAGCTATAGTGAAACTGACAATGCCCACGTGCATGGCAGCTGGATGCTGGAATACATCGGGTAAAAGTGAAAAAAAGAGTTATTCCACCTTTCTGATTCCTGATCCTCCACGGACGGGTTGGTCGTTGGATCGCCAACTGGAAGAGGGAGGATTTGCCATCGAACTTCTGGCCAGAGAAAAAACCCGTAATATGTAGCCAACATTTGGAAGAAGAATGTTTTCAAGATGACTTTGATAATAGCGCGTTGTGACAAACACCAGATACAGCACTGGGACTTGATCAACAGCCGATACCGCACCGTGACGTCACTAACCAGTAGGTGGCAGTAGTGTTCTTTGACAAACCTCCAGTAAAGCACATTCAAATGAAAATTACTCTGAATTAAAAACACTGATCATTTATTGAAGAGTATGCAATAACTTTATATTTAAAGTACTTTCAGAAGTTTGAATTCTGAATATTACCGGACTTCTCCTTTAAAGATTATGATAAAGCTATTTAGATTACAGTCGAGGAAACTTTAAAGTAGAGGGGAAAATGTTTTTTTTCTCTGACCCAGAGGTGGTGGATGTACCGAACGATTGTACAAAGTAAGACTGGCATTACTTTTTTATTATAAAAAAGTGCAACATAGGTTAGTTTACAATAGGGTAGATTGATTCCAGTAACCTGACATAGTATATTGTTTACTATAGGTTCCTTTGACACAGATTAATCAGAAGATAGAAAATTACATCAATCTAAGGGAGCTTGATTACAAAAAAAGTCTCACTTAAACATAGGTGACTGTTTAAATGAGAAAGCTGCAACCTCTGTGTAGCTTTTAAAGCCCTTTCGCTTCCTTAAGTCAACACTGACGCACCAACTCTCTACCGTGATTTGTCCTCGTTTTGCTCCTTATTTTTTCTTGGGCTTGAATCGGAGGAATGTAATTCTGAGAAGAAGCAGTTTTCAGCTCCATCATGGGGCCAGTGGAGCCACCAGGTGGTGGCCATGGCCACCCTGTGAAATTCCCTGGCCACCCCACTGGCCAGTGTAAATTGTAGTAGAATCAGTTTAGCATTTCCTCCCATTCTGCACATCCAGCCACAAAACATTAAAAATCACAAAATAAACAAAGATCTGAGGAGGTGTTACTGAAGTCTTTCTGACTTCTACAGGCAGGTTTACCAAAATAGTTGATTCAAACCCTGAAATGATAGCTTTTAGTTTCAGTGGCCACCCCAAATTTTTTTGTGGCCCCATCTGGCCCCCCCTATGAAACATTTCTTGAGGCGCCACTGCATGAATCTGGTAAAAACCTGTGCTCCGTCTCACCCAACTTCAACCTACTGTTCCTATTGGTGCAGACTCCTTTCACCTCCACGTTTCCATGGTAACCGGAAGTAAATGATTCTATATTTCGGAGCTGCGTAATTTGTCTCCAGCTATTTATATATTATTTATATACTATATTATTTGTTTTATCTTGTAAAATGAATACTTTTATTTTGCACCCCTCTTTGTACGTATTACTTTATTTTAAAAAGTGATAGTTTTGATAAATAAATGTTAGTTTTGACCTTTAAATTTAGATGAAATCCATACTTTTTCAAGAAGCTTTTGCTAAAATAGTTTGAAACACTTGCGTCCTCTATCAAGAACTAAAGGCCTCAGCAGATTGCCGCTCACGCTGGATCTGGCTCTGTTGGATGTTTCTTTCTGTTATATGGGAGTTTTCCTCTTCACTGTCGCTGCAAGCATGCTTCGGGCCAATGAGTCGATGCAATCAGCTGGTCTTCCTTAGATAGAAAACATTGAATCAATCTGACTGGATGATCTGGTGAACTGGAAAGTGCCTTGAGATGGCATGTGTTGTGAATTGCATTGAATTGAAATGCACTATTTCAGCTGCTATATAGTAATGCATATTTGTTGAACTCCTTGTGTTAAAACACATAAATATCTGCATTTTTTTATGAGTCGGTCATGTCCAAAACCAATGTTGACTATTTATCCATCTACCCTCCTTTTAGAGATAAGAACACAGTTTCACAACGACCTCCGCGCCCTTTGTTTATCAAACCCACCAAAGGAGTCTTTTCACCACCACAGTCACAAAATACTTCTGCAGCAGGAACCACGAATTGGGAGGAGCCTAAAGTGAGACGTATGAAATGTCCCTCTGATAGGGAGGAGCTTCCAAGCTTAGCTAAAGAGAAATCAGCTGAAACAGAAGTCATAAAAGACACTGCTTGTCCAGACCAGTCAGTTAGTTTTTCTGCGGTGTTACACACTGATGATGAAGAAAAACAGGCTGGGAAAGACGACCAATTCCTTCTCTGCCAAACCGTTGAAAATAAACTAAAGATTACTGAAAACCAAAGTAATAAGTTTGATCTTAAGTCAAAAGCACACATGAAACAAATGGAGAATGAAATACCTTTTTGTGTCGGTGCGTGTTTTGGGCCACGTTATGCCAAACCAGAGTCTTACAGTAAACCATTCAGCTTCTTGGAGACCTGTTCCAGAGCGACAAACATAACCGGTATGCCATGCATATCCCCAACCTGTTATGAAAAACCCTGGTCAGTGGATCGAAAAATAATCTGGGAGAAATCATTTAATGGAATGAACGAAAAACTGCCACATCTCGCATCGGTAGAGAAGAAGAAACGGGACATAGGAAGTGTTTTGTTAAAGCCAAGTTGTCCAATCCAGGCTAAGTTTCCAGGTTTCCCCTCTGTTTCCCAAAAGAGTGGCAGCAATCAGTGTTTTACAAAACCATCAATGAGAACAGCTAAAGTTGATAATGAACAATCAGCATCTCAATGGGAATTGCCTTTAAATGTGAAAAGAGAAGGTGTTCCGATTTTAGGTTCATGCCCTAAATGCTCACCGATTGAAGGCATTCCCTCATTAGTGACTCAGAAATTAAGTGAGCGATGGGTTTCAGGGCACAAACCCTTGACAGATCTGAAAGTTTATACTGTCCCAATTAAACCCTGTAGTATTCAAGGGGCTATAAGGAATGAGGCCACTTTAGTTCAGACCTGTCCCAAGAAAGTTTGTGCATCTGGAATTCCCTCTGCTTCGGGACGTACAGTAATTTCTAATGGGTGTACTGAGATTAAAAGACAGGCAAGAGGAATGGTTTCCCTCTTGCCAACCTGTCCCAGGGTTTCAAGAGTTAAAGGCTTTCCCTCAGTACCTGATCCCAAGCTTGAGTATTATAAATTTAATATAGTCAATCTCCTTCCCTTGTGTCCTGTCACTTCTTCTATATCAGGATTTCCATCACTGGAACACCAAGATAAGATAGGTTGGGCTACTAATGTAGTTTTATTGACATCTAGATCACAAAGAACAGCTCAGTTTGGCATTGATATGGATATATCACCAAGTAACACAGACGCTGCAAAGGACATATTGAGCTTTGCTTCTTCTTGCCCAAGAGAATCACTCATCCCTGGCTTTGCTTCAATACTAAATCCCAGTCTGATTGTTAATACAAGTAGTATGGTGAGTCTTGCAAGTTCGTGTCCAACAATCTCCCTAATCCCCGGTCTTCCATCATTGTATTGTCCGCAAAGATGGACAGCATGCAAAGAGGAACTGTTTAAACCAGTGATACAAGAGAAGCACTTGTTACTTATTGATCTATGTGACAAAAACCAGAGACCAATAGAAGGAATGGTTTCCCTCTTGCCAACCTGTCCCAGGGTCTCAAGAGTTAAAGGCTTTCCCTCAGTTCCTGATCCCAAGCTTGAGTATTATAAATTTAATCTAGTCAATCTCCTTCCCTTGTGTCCTGTTACTTCTTTTATACCAGGATTCCCATCACTGCGACACCAAGATGGAGAGCTTTGGGCTGCTTTTGTAGGTCCTTTGACATCTAGATCAAAAAGAACTGTACAAATTTGCACTGATATAGTTGTATTACCAAGTAACACAGACACTGCCAAGGACATGTTGAGCTTTACTTCATCTTGCCCAAGAGAATCACTCATCCCTGGATTTGCTTCAATACTAAATCCAAGGGTGACTGTTAATACAAGTAGTATGGTGAGTCTTGCAAGTTCATGTCCAAAAATTTCCCTAATCACAGGTTTTCCATCATATCATTCTTTACAATTGTGGACAGCATCCAAAGAGGCACTGTTTGAACCAAGGATGAAAGACAAACACCTGCTCTATATTGATCTCTATGACACAGACCAAAGACCAATAAAAGGAATGGTTTCTCTTTTGCCAACCTGTCCCAGGCTTTCAAGAGTTAAAGGCTTTCCCTCAGTTCCTGATCCCAAGCGTGAGTATTATAAATTTAATCCAGTCAATCTCCTTCCCTTGTGTCCTGTAACTTCTTGTATACCGGGATTCCCGTCACTGGAACAACAACATAAAGAAGGTTGGGCTGCTGTTGTAGCTTCATTGACATCTAGATCACATAGAACTTCTCAGTTTTGCACTGATGTATTACCAAGTAACACAGACACTGCCAAGGACATGTTGAGCTTTGTTTCATCTTGCCCAATAGAATCACTCATCCCTGGCTTTGCTTCAATACTAAATCCCAGTGTAGTTAATGGTGCAAGTAGTATGGTAAGTCTTGCAAGTTCATGTCCAAAGATCTCCTTTATCCCAGGGTTCCCATCATTTCATTGTCAACGCTTGTGGACAGCAAGCAAAGATGAACTGTTTGAACCAAGGATGAAAGACAAGCACTTTTTACTCATTGATCTCTTTGACAAAGACCAGAGACCAATAGAAGGAATGGTTTCTCTCTTAACAACCTGTCCCAGGGTTTCAAGGAATAAAGGCTTTCCCTCAATATTTCGTCCCAACCTTGAGCATTGTAAATTTAATGTGGTCAATTTACTACATTTGTGTCCCATTTCATCTAATATTCCAGGATTCCCATCACTGGAACACCAAGATAAGAAAGGTTGGACTGTTGATGTAGCTTCGTTGATATCTAGATCACAAAGAACCGCTCAGTTTTGTACTGATATAGGTATATTATCAATTAACACACACACTGCAAAGGACAGGCAGAGCTTTGCTTCTTCTTGCCCAAGAGAATCACTCATCCCTGGATTTGCTTCAATACTAAATCCAAGGGTGACTGTTAATACAAGTAGTATGGTGAGTCTTGCAAGTTCATGTCCAAAAATTTCCCTATTCCCAGGTTTTCCATCATATCATTCTTTACAATTGTGGACAGCATCCAAAGAGGCACTGTTTGAACCAAGAATGAAAGACAAACACCTGCTATATATTGATCTCTGTGACACAGACCAGAGACCAATAAAAGGAATGGTTTCTCTCTTGTCAACCTGTCCCAGGGTTTCAAGGGTTAAAGGCTTTCCCTCAGTTCCTGATCCCAAGCGTGAGTATTATAAATTTAATCCAGTCAATCTCCTTCCCTTGTGTCCTGTAACTTCTGTTATACCGGGATTCCCGTCACTGGAACAACAACATAAAGAAGGTTGGGCTGCTGTCGTAGCTTCATTGACATCTAGATCACAAAGAGCCGCTCAGTTGTGCACTAATGTATTACCAAGTAACACAGACACTGCCAAGGACATGTTGAGCTTTGTTTCATCTTGCCCAAGAGAATCACTCATCCCTGGCTTTGCTTCAATACTAAATCCCAGTGTAGTTAATGGTGCAAGAAGTATGGTAAGTCTTGCAAGTTCATGTCCAAAGATCTCCTTTATCCCAGGGTTCCCATCATTTCATTGTCAACGTTTATGGACAGCAAGCAAAGATGGACTGTTTGAACCAAGGATGAAAGACAAGCACTTTTTACTCATTGATCTCTGTGACACAGACCAGAGACCAATAAAAGGAATGGTTTCTCTCTTGCCAACCTGTCCCAGGGTTTCAAGGGTTAAAGGCTTTCCCTCAGTTCCTGATCCCAAGCGTGAGTATTATAAATTTAATCCAGTCAATCTCCTTCACTTGTGTCCTGTAACTTCTGTTATACCGGGATTCCCGTCACTGGAACAACAACATAAAGAAGGTTGGGCTGCTGTCGTAGCTTCATTGACATCTAGATCACAAAGAGCCTCTCAGTTGTGCACTAATGTATTACCAAGTAACACAGACACTGCCAAGGACATGTTAAGCTTTGTTTCATCTTGCCCAATAGAATCACTCATCCCTGGCTTTGCTTCAATACTAAATCCCAGTGTAGTTAATGGTGCAAGTAGTATGGTAAGTCTTGCAAGTTCATGTCCAAAGATCTCCTTTATCCCAGGGTTCCCATCATTTCATTGTCAACGCTTGTGGACAGCAAGCAAAGATGGACTGTTTGAACCAAGGATGAAAGACAAGCACTTTTTACTCATTGGTCTCTTTGACAGAGACCAGAGACCAATAGAAGGAATGGTTTCACTCTTAACAACCTGTCCCAGGGATTCAAGAATTAAAGGCTTTCCCTCAGTTTATCATCCCAAACTTGAGCATTATAAAATGAATATGGTCAATCATCTACCATCGTGTCCCCTTTCATCTAGTATACCAGGATTTCCATCACTGGAACCCCAAGATAAGGAAGGCTGCGTGACTGATGTAGGTCTGTTAATGTATAGATCCCAAAGAACTGTTCAGTTTAACAGTTATGTAAGCCCATTACCAGATAACACAGACACTGCAAAGGACATGTTGTGTTTGGTCCCATCTTGCCCTAAAGAATCATTTATCCATGGTTTTCCATCTCTTGCCCATCGCACTGTGGCAAGCATTAACAATGATGAACCTTTAAAAACTAAACTTAAATTCAAAGTGGAACCTAACATGACACTAATGGTACCCCTTTGCCCCAGGAATTCAGTTATTAAAGGATTTGCATCCTTGACCTCTCTCCCGGTTACAGAATGGCTAAGCAAAACCAATCTTATACTCATTAAACCACTAGACAAGCATACATCTGTCTCAATTTCTAAACATGAGCACCTAGATTTATACAACAGTAAATGTATGCTGCGTTTTGCGACATCCTGCCCTAAAAATGCTAGAATCTACGGTTTTCCCTCTGCCACAAAAGTAAGCGAGCCAACAGATATGGTTAGCTTATACAGAACTTCTCCATGTGTTTCATGTGTCCCTGGTTTTCCGTCAGCAAGAAGGCTTAGCTCTGAATGCCCAGAAACACACACTTGGATAACACAGGATGTTGTCTTGTTTAAGAAGAAGCAAAAAGAGAAGCCTTTTACTGGAACCTTCCCAGCCAAATTGCATCAAACTCAAGAATTGAAGCCTATGGTCGCAATGGCTTCCTCATGCCCACGTCAGACTCGGATTCCTGGATTTCCCAGCTTTTTGCAAGTGAATGCAGATGTGAAAATACCCCAACATGCATGGTCAAATCTCTATGATAAGCCAAGTCTTCATTTATCATCCGATAGGAGTCAAAGCACTGAACTATCAAACGGTGAGAATTTTGTTGTGTCTAAAATCAACATACCGCTTCATCCATTTGTGTTTGACTTCAAATATTTTATCTGGTTGATGTTTTAGCAGACGAAAAGAGGTTTTCAAATGAAAGTGTAGATCCATTTCACTTTGATAAGTAAGTGGAAGTGCACAGTGCTCCTGTGTGTGTTTTGCTGTGAAATTAGCTTAGTGCCTGCTTGTCATATGTTGTGTGGAGGTAAGAACACCTCAAGTGCATGGTGTTTTGGTATGCGTTTATATTCCATGATTGGTTTATGGATGAACAACTTTAAGATTTTGTATTTGGCTCCTCAGCAAATCCCAGTTAGAGACGATTACAGCAGCAGAAGCAAAGGCAGGGAATAAAACTTTGGACACAACAGAGACAGCGGGACTTTTTGGATGGGAGGTTTTGGAGGCAGATGGATCAGTGTCTGAAAAAAAGAGAGAACACTACTTAGCACCAAACGCAGAAGAGACTACAGGATTAGTAAAGGCCCTTGTTGGTGTTTTCCACAAAGGGTAAGTTTAAAACCAGTCTTAAACCAGATGTTAAATAGAATATATGGCTTTTGATACTTCATAAAGTAGATTTAATAAATGTATATTTGTTTTGTTTATGCCTTGATCCACATGTTCAGCCCTCTATTAATTTATTCTTTGCAGTTATGAAACAGTAGCATCTATCCTGGGTCCATCTAGCTCTACTTTAGGAGACGCTGATACTTCAGTGAACCTGGAGGACAGGTCATTGACTACTACTGAAGCTTTGCCACATTTTACTGATAACAGGACTCCTCTACAAAAGGTGGATGAATGTTTTGACATTCATGCTAAAAAAGAATATCCAACAAGCATGGAGCCATACTTGAGGGAGTTGATGGTTGGCGATTTAGTCCCTTCGTTATCAATTGCTAACGATGATGGCGGAGGTGGTGTAAAAGAAAGTAAAGGAACAGATAAGCAGGATTTTCCTCTTAATCACTCACATTCAAAGGATACAATGCTGATCAAGCAGAACTTTGATCGGACATCAAAGTACCTGAAAGATTTGCCGGTGAAACACCGAGCCAATGTAGAACAAGATGGTATGAAAACGATGTTGTTCTCTTCTCAGTCAGAGAAAGGGTGAGTGATTGAGTCTCTTTTAGTTGCATGGCGTGTGACCTGAACTTGAAATCTTTTTACAACATAGCCATACACCATTTAGAAAGTCAGCACTGTCAAAGGAATTTTAGAATAGGATATTTACTGTCTTAGTCTCTTTTATTATACTGTATGCTTTGAGTCATATTTGCATCGCTGAAGCTGAGTTAGATCATAAAAATCTATTATTATTCAAGAACCTTTTCAATATGAATTTAGACTTTGGTCTCTTTCAATCAAAGGTTTGCCACAGAAAGCATGCATGCTCTAAGTGTATGGCACAGCCGCTTAGTCTGAAGTTGTCTTCTCTTTTCCTCTAAGCCCAACACAAACAAGCTTAAAAACGTTGCCGGCAACTCCCCTTCAGCCTGCAGACAGTAGCCAGCAGAGAGCTGCTCTGTTTGATGCACTCTCGGACCCATCCAGGTGTGATCAAGAGAAATGTCCGGCGATACCACTGGCCAGTATTGCTGGTCCTCATCAAGATAAAAAGGAAAAGAGATCGGTTCCACCTGAACTGAAAGAGGGCGATCAGAGAACGTGCATAGCTCCGGTAAGGCCAAGCAGAAAGAGGGATAGTTTACCAGAAGAACAAAAAGAAGTTGCCTTGTTTCCTAAGCCAGCACCAGAAGATCTTCAGCTTCAGTCCAATAGGACTTGTGCTCTGGAATGGCCTAACAAAGATGGCGCAACCTCTATCCAGACGTCTTCTTTGGAAACAAAGGAAATGAAAAGCATCCACCCTGTGCTGGAGCCAGATGTATTGCATGATGAGCACCTTAGCTCTGTTTCAATAATTAAGAAGATACATTTTCCAAAAGGAGCAAGAAAAGCTGGGAGACTTGGTAGCGACAAGGACATCACAGCAGGTGACATGAAGCCGGTCTACCCGCCATCCGCTGGTGACGCATCTGCTGATAAGTCCAACATTACAAGGCAAAAGGTAGATGATCCAAAAGGAGAAGAGCTCATTAAAAATCCTGTTCCAAAGCCTCGTGGGAGAAAACATGTCATTGACTCCTTCCCAGGCGGGAGTATCCCTGCAGGAAGTGCATCTCAGGAATCCCACGGCAAAGAAAAACTAACAGCAAGGCAAAGAAAACAAGGTCATCAAAGTCAAGACTGTTCTAATTCTTCAGCTGAACCTTCTTCTGGTTCATTGGTGGGAATTAGAACTACATTTGATCAAAGGGTTCACGGAGCGTGCAATGATCCTTCAGAAATGCCCTCATGTTTACCTATGCCCAAAGAAAGAAGGAAACGTCGCTGTGATTCATTCCTAGATGACTCAACATCCGCCTCCCGTTCAGACCCCATTGCTGATGTAACTGATACTAAAGTGACCCCAGAAAGTAAGACATTAGGCTCGCCTCTTCTATTTCATCAAGTCAAAAAAACAGTCAGAGAACGGTCATCCTCCAAAGAAATAGAACTACCCGAGACAAACATAGATCAGGAATGTGGCAAGAAAACTCCAGATTCCTGTCTGCAATCGGAAGGAGCTCTGGTTGCAGTTCAGGGTGAAGAAGTGATGTTGCAGTTGGAGAGAGATGTTCTAGATGCAATGCAAGAAGTGTTTACTCAGACGCAGTCTGGAGAAGATGCTGAAGACGATAAAGATGAGATTCTCAAGGATTGGACTGTTACAGGTGAGCCTCTTGTACCAAACAGCTTACAGAAGGATAAGAAAGTGACTTCAGAAAAGGAGAAGGTCCTAGAAAGAGAGATACATAGGTCAGGAACTGTCACGGTGATGTCCTCTCACGATGACTGGCTGCACGTAGAGCACAAACAAGAGAGTGAACCTATGGAAATCAACACAAGAAGGACAGTGAGAGAAGAAGAGTTGGACTTTTCGTCTGTAGATGTAGCTGCTGCTTGTTCAGAGACTCAAAGGTAAGAGTTGTCGGGAATCGTTCATCTATTGCAGGATGCTCTGAACTCACATTTGTTTGATGGTGTGCAAAAAATATTTCTAAAGGTTTAGAGTCATATAGATTTTTAAATGTGTGTGAGGCATTTTTCCTCATGACAGGTCGTTTGTAACGGGTGTTAAGGGAAAACATGCATTTATGTAGCTACCGTTGTGTTTCTGTTAGGTCGGCAGGGCAGCCTGTAGCTTTTCCTCGTGGAAAGAAGCGTTTGAGTGGTTCTTCACTGAACGGCACCGAGTCAGAAGCTGGTGCCCTCCGACAAGCCTTCGAGCCTTCGACGCCTCAGAAGAAACATGCAGATGAGGCTCCTTCTGTGGAGGTAAGTTCAATCTGAGTTGAATCAAGGTCGGTGTGCTGAAGTGTTCCTCTGGAGTTGTTCATAGGCTTTAAAGTTTCGACATCCTGCTGTTGTAATCCTCCACAAGTCAACAATGGATGCTGAATTTTTCCTTTGGCGCCACAGAGAATTTCTTTGTCATGAAATAGCTCTTTTCTTGCCAGAAGAAAAACCCCTGCCTTTACTGCTACTCCGCTTCACTCCGTATGGGTGCTGTCCATTTCTTGGCAAATTCCTGTGGAACAGAATCAGGGATCGCAGCTCTAATGTAGAAAATGCAATGAGTTTTTGACCCCCCCACCAGAACCGGCCCCACTGACACCACTCCAAACCTTTTTGATGTAGATGTTTTTCAAAAGTTAGTTCCTTGAATCCATTTGCTCTTTCCTTAAAAAATATTGCACCGAGATTCACTCCGTATTCGAAGTATCCCTTGCTAATGTCCACATGAATGTTGTATAATACTGTACTTTATAAGGCATTTTTGGACATAAAATGTGGGGAGGGTATGTGCATCTGCAGCTGGTAAGGAGTTTATGTTCCTGGAGGTGTCAAGAACGGGACGGATGGATCCAGTATTCAAGGTTAGAGAGACAGTGGGAAAGTTCAAAACGAGCAGCGGTGCAGAGCCGCCTAGAGTTTCCCTGACCCAGCAACTTCAGTGAGCAGGCAGTAATCTGATCCAGGTCAGGGATATAGATCAGACAGAAACTGTTCTGGAATCCAGGAGTCCGCAGCCCAGTCAGGGGTTCCGACCCAAACAGGAACAGACAGATCCATGGTTCCAGGAATCCAAAGAGCGTAAAGGCAGGTTCAGAGTTCCAATGAGTCCAACAGCGAGCTCAGACAGAAACACATGGATGCAAACCGGCAGGCTCAGTGGTTGAGGGACAGAGACAAGACATGGTACCAGGATGAAACTTTAAACTGGTCTCCACCTAGGAGCCAGGACAAATCAGGAGAAAAGACAAACACCAAAACCCTCTCAACCCAGGGATGGTAACCTGAGCGTAGGAATCCCTGAAACTAAAACTAACCAACAATCATCTGGCCCCGATAGCTGGACTGAGCAGCATATAAAGCAGAATGAGCAGGGGGAATAGATCAGTGATAATTAAAGATTGGACAGAGTTAAGGTTGATTTATGCTCAGAAACCCAGTCGTCTGCATGTGTGTCGCAGTTCCCTTCCATGTTTGGCTCCAGCCTTATCAAAATATTACACTGTGTTCTTAAACCAAGGACTCTGCTCTCATTCCATTCCCAAATCTTTGCCACATGCAGAATGAAGATGACTTTTTATCCTGACAGAGTCCTACTTAGATAAACTACTTGGGAAAACATTAGTTGTGACACATAGCAGGCAGGTATTATTAGGGGTTTAACAGACTCACACATCATCAGTAAGAATAATCCTAACATTCTTTACCACTTTACTCACACAGTCACCCTGAGTCCCGCTTTTTTTGCCTCCAGACCAAACAGTCACTTCCCTCTGTCAGTCCCTCAGCTCAGTCTCAGGCCGTAGGCTGTAGGTTAGTGAACAGACCTAACCTACTTAGATGACATCTTTCTGATCCTAAATCTGTTCTTTGCTGTTTTTCTGTTTTTTTGTATTGTTCCAAGAATAGGCTTTTTTTTTTTTACTCTTGACCATTTGAGCTCTGTGCCATGCTGTTCCTGAATCTAGGTTGCATTTTCTATGTCTTAGAACGCTGCTTCCAGCCCCTCCCTGGTCACCTCCAGTCAGTCTCTCCTGGAATGGTGTAAGGACGTGACTCAGGGTCACAAGGGAGTGAAGATCACCAACTTCAGCACTTCCTGGAGGAACGGCCTGGCGTTCTGTGCGATCCTCCATCATTTCCATCCTGGAAAGATGTAAGAAACACCTGTCATAAAAAAAATTAAAAAACTAGTATACTACATTCAAATTATTGAGCATCAATGGGTATTAATCAATTATAGAAATAATTATCAACTAATTTAGTTTAGTTTAGTTCATCTGTCAATATTTTCCATCCAGAACTCCTCAAGTGGAAACATTTTAGTTTCACCTGGTTTAATTTCATGAAAAAATTCTTCTTTAAAGAACCTTTTGCTATTAATCAATTTATCGAAAAGATAATCAACAGATTAATTTGCCGGTGAAGATTCTGTCATCCAGGACATAGTCATTCAAAAAAAAAAACTAAAAAAACAATCCACTGGACTGTTTCCAAGTTTTGAAGACGTTTCGCTTCCCCTCCAGGAAGCTTTTTCAATTCAAAATGTCAGAAATTGCATTAGGTTCCAGGTTTTGTACAGTAGCCATTCAGTTGCCTATTCAGCCATGCGAACAAGTCCCTTTAAAGTCGTAAGAAAGCGGCTGTTCCAACCGTCGCATTTCCGAATTCTCCCAGTGGTGCACGACTTTACACGAGTGCATAAAGTGAATGTGATTGGTCGATTATCAAGGGGGCGGGATTGTTGTGGTGGAAGCTTTGTGAGCAAGTTTGGTTGTGGCCGGTTTGTGGGAAGCATCTTGCTAACCAGTTAGCAACTTAGTGCTAGCAGGTTCCCAATGGGAAATTCCATTGGGACCAAGTAGCACTAAATTGGTGACTTAGAAACGACGCTGTCAAGGAACGCTATGGACAGAGGAAACATGCAAGAGGAGGAGAGTTTAGTGTCGGAGGTCGTGGATGAGTCTCCTCCGTCATCCATTTTTTATTTAGAGGAGGAAAGCGGGGACGAAGATGTTGTGGAAGAGGACGCCAGGGCGGCAGAAGCTTGGTTTGGTGTAGAAGGCTTCCAGCCGTACATGTTTGAGCCCTTGCCTCGCAACGCTGCCAGTTCTGTTAGCTCTACGCCTGCCGAAGACACAGACGTCCATCCCCGGGAACACTGGGACGCAACTCAATGGGAAAGGAAAGGATTCTGGTTTCAACCGTTGCGTTGACACCATTGACAGATGACCTTTGACATATGATTGGCTGAATTTTGGTGTTCAGGCTGACATATAACTAACTGGCCTGCTTAAGATAACAAAGAAAAAAACACAGATTTTAGGCCGGATATTTTTGTTTAAATAGAAATGTTCTAAATTTTGGGACAATATGGTCTGATAAAGAGAACATTTATAAACATGTTTAAGCCAGAATGATTTGACATTTAATATATTTTCCCTATGACTTTGACGACCCCCCTTTCAGAGACATAGACAGGTATGGAGCATTGCAGGCTAACAAAGAAGCCAAACGACCCCCATTCCAAAGGGGGGGGCCCGTTCATCCGTTTCTATTTGCATGTTTTCTAAACTAAAACCAGGCTTTGTTGGGCTGCTGGATAAAACCTGGAACTAAACGCTATTTCTGACATTTTGGATTGAAAAATCTTCCTGGATGGAAGAGAAACGTCTTCAAACTTGGAAACAAAGTCCAGTGAATTGATTTTTTACTTTTTTGGAAGGACAGATTAATCGATTTGCAAAAAAATGTTAGTTCAGATCCTTATTACACGTCAGTACAGGTCCATTTACTGATTAACTAATGTTTCTAAGGTCCAACTAATGATTACCTCGCTAATTTCTAAAGAGCCAGGCCTGTTTGCTTCTAGCTCCTAATCTTAACAGAAAAAGTTATTCCAGCAGGTCCTCCAGCGTCGGAGGGTTATGTTGGAGCCATTTCAAAGCAACAGTTTTTTCTCTATGGAGCTGAGATTGCTTAATATTCACCATTAGTTTGTAAACTGAGACGAATGACCCCTAAAGTCTGGAGCAAAGTGGGTCGTTGAAATTTAAAACCAAAATCCGTTTTCTAAGTTTTAGTTTTTCTGGTTCTGCTGGAGGTTTCTTCCTGTTCAAAGGGAGTTTTTCCTCTCCACTGTCGCTACAAGCATGCATAGTGTGAGGGATTGCTGAAGAGTCAATGAGTCGATGCAATCAGCTGGTTTTCCTTAGATAGAAAACTTTGAATCAATCTGACTGGATGATCTGGTGAACTGGAAAGTGACCTGAGATGACATGATGTGAACTGGAGCTATAGAAATACACTGAATAGAATATAGATTCTAATATAGATAGCATAATAAGATTTCACGTTTTCTAACATTCTTCTCTTCGTTTCTCGTTTTTATAGAAATTTTGAAATGCTGAACCCGTACGATATCCAGATCAACAACAAAATGGTGAACAACATTTTTTTTTTTTCTCGCTCTTGTCTTCATAATTGTTTTAAACGTGAAAATAGTTTTTTTTCTCTCTCTTTACTGGTTTTAGGCTTTCGATAGTTTTGCCGAACTCGGTATTTCCAGACTGATAGAGCCTTCGGATATGGTCATGCTGGCGGTACCCGACCGCCTCATCGTTATGACCTACCTCAACCAAATACGAACCCATTTCACCGGCCAGCAGCTCAGTGTGCTTCATATCGATAAAAACAGCAGTGAGTCCAATTACGCGGTGTCAGGGAGCCAGGAGCTGCAGGAGGACCCAGAGGCAACCGTTCGCTACTGCGCTCAGAAACTCCAGGAGAAAGGTCTGAGCCTGGAGGCGATCGCGAGTGGAGGCCCTGCGGAGGATGAGCCTCAAAGCAGCGCCGAGATGGCTCCACCTCCACGGTCCAAACGGCTACCGGTCCCCGGGGCGGCAGGGGCCTCCGGCTCTCAGTCTCCCGTGGCTCCTCCAAGGTCTCATGTCCTCTCTAAGGGCTTCTCCCGGGTCAAGGATGCGGATCTAGTCAAAAAGCGTAGATCTCAAAAGAAGAGCGGGTCGATTGATGATGGAGATACTTCGCCGGTACGGCGCCTTTTTCACTATATCTGTTCATCTTCCTTAAAGTTGTTTTTCACTCGTGGCTTTAATCCAAGGATCTTCTTTCTCTCTCTCTCTCTAGGCCGGAACAGAACGGGAGGGGAGGAACTCAGAAACCGGTAGGTGTTCTTTAGGTTTCCTTAGATCAGCATTTATGACACATCTTAGAAGATTTCATTTATTTAATTGCATTTACTCTGCAGAGAAATCAGAGTTTGTAGTAGAAGAAGAGAAACCAGAGGGTCAGGTGAGGATGGGACTGATAACTGACTCTAACAACTAAATAACATATTTTCATCTCATCTTGAAAGCTGATTTCTATGTGTTAACATCCATGTATGTAGGACACCAGCCAGTATGTGTTACATCAGATGGAGGCGTTGGAAGCGGAACAGAACCACATTGACAACAGAGCAGCGGTGGTGGAGCAGAAACTCAGGCAGTTGATGGAAACAGGTAGAGTTTATCATTGTGATTAATGCTGGTTAAACTGGGAAAGCTGCTGTCACACCTCGATGGTTTAGACCGGCGTATGCCTGAAGTACGAAAAATCTGGCAAAAGCACTGGCATACGTTGGATAAGTTATGAGCACGCTGAAGCACGGCGAAACAAACTGAAGCACGCCGAAACACGGTCAAACACGTTGAAACACTCTGAAGCACTTAAAGACGCCGAAACATGCTGAAGCACGCTGAAAGACACCGGAACACACAGCAGAACGCTGAAATAAGCTGAAACACACTTCAACAGGCTGAAACACGCTAAAGCACGCCGAAACATGCTGAAGCATACTGGCACACGTTGAAACACACTGAAGGGTGCTGAAACACGCTGCGGAACGCTAAAACATGCTGAAACATGCTGAAGCACGCTGATGCACGTTGAAACATGCTAAAGTATGATGAAGCATGCTGAAGCTGCTGAAACACGCGAACACGGTGAAACACGCTGAAGCATGATGAATTACGCTGAAGCATGCTGAAGCACACTGAACATGCTGAAACACGCTAAAGCACGCTGAAACATGCTGAAGTATGATGAAGCATGCTGAAGCTGCTGAAACACTGAAGCACACTGAAGCCACTGAAACACGCGAACACGTTGAAACATGCTGAAATACGCTGAAGCATGATGAAACACGCTGAAGCATGATGAAACACGCTGAAGCATGCTGAAACACGCTGAAGCACACTGAACACGGTAAAACATGCTGAAACACGCTGAAGCACACTGAACACGGTGAAACATGCTGAAACACGCTGAAGCATAATGAAGCACTGTGAAGCTGCTGAAGTATGATGAAGCATGCTGAAGCTGCTGAAACGCGAACACGGTGAAACATGCTGAAACACGCTGAAGCATAATGAAGCACTCTGAAGCTGCTGAAGTATGATGAAGCATGCTGAAGCTGCTGAAACGCGAACACGGTGAAACATGCTGAAACACGCTGAAGCATAATGAAGCACTCTGAAGCTGCTGAAGTATGATGAAGCACGCTGAAGCTGCTGAAACACGCAAACACGGTGAAACATGCTGAAACATGCTGAAGCACGTTGATGCACGTTGAAAAACGCTAAAGTATGATGAAGCATGCTGAAGCTGCTGAAACACGCGAACACGGTGAAACACGCTGAAGCATGATAAATTACGCTGAAGCACACTGAACACGCTGAAACACGCTAAAGCATGCTGAAACACTCTGAAGTATGATGAAGCACGCTGAAGCCACTGAAACACGCGAACACGGTGAAACATGCTGAAATACGTTGAAGCATAATGAAGCACTCTGAAGCTGCTGAAGTATGATGAAGCACGCTGAAGCTGCTGAAACACGCGAACATGGTGAAACATGCTGAAGCATGATGAACACGCTGAAACACGCTGAAGCATGATGAAACACGCTGAAGCACGCTGAAGCATGCTGAAACACGCTGAAGCACACTGAACACGGTGAAACATGCTGAAACACGCTGAAGCATAATGAAGCACTCTGAAGCTGCTGAAGTATGATGAAGCATGCTGAAGCTGCTGAAACACGCGAACACGTTGAAACATGCTGAAATACGCTGAAGCATGATGAAACACGCTGAAGCATGCTGAAACACGCTGAAGCACACTGAATACGGTAAAACATGCTGAAACACGCTGAAGCACACTGAACACGGTGAAACATGCTGAAACACGCTAAAGCATAATGAAGCACTCTGAAGCTGCTGAAGTATGATGAAGCATGCTGAAGCTGCTGAAACGCGAACACGGTGAAACATGCTGAAACACGCTGAAGCATAATGAAGCACTCTGAAGCTGCTGAAGTATGATGAAGCACGCTGAAGCTGCTGAAACACGCAAACACGGTGAAACATGCTGAAACATGCTGAAGCACGTTGATGCACGTTGAAAAACGCTAAAGTATGATGAAGCATGCTGAAGCTGCTGAAACACGCGAACACGGTGAAACACGCTGAAGCATGATAAATTACGCTGAAGCACACTGAACACGGTGAAACATGCTGAAACACGCTGAAGCATAATGAAGCACTCTGAAGCTGCTGAAGTATGATGAAGCATGCTGAAGCTGCTGAAACACGCGAACACGTTGAAACATGCTGAAATACGCTGAAGCATGATGAAACACGCTGAAGCATGCTGAAACACGCTGAAGCACACTGAATACGGTAAAACATGCTGAAACACGCTGAAGCACACTGAACACGGTGAAACATGCTGAAACACGCTAAAGCATAATGAAGCACTCTGAAGCTGCTGAAGTATGATGAAGCATGCTGAAGCTGCTGAAACGCGAACACGGTGAAACATGCTGAAACACGCTGAAGCATAATGAAGCACTCTGAAGCTGCTGAAGTATGATGAAGCACGCTGAAGCTGCTGAAACACGCAAACACGGTGAAACATGCTGAAACATGCTGAAGCACGTTGATGCACGTTGAAAAACGCTAAAGTATGATGAAGCATGCTGAAGCTGCTGAAACACGCGAACACGGTGAAACACGCTGAAGCATGATAAATTACGCTGAAGCACACTGAACACGCTGAAACACGCTAAAGCATGCTGAAACACTCTGAAGTATGATGAAGCACGCTGAAGCCACTGAAACACGCGAACACGGTGAAACATGCTAAAATACGTTGAAGCATAATGAAGCACTCTGAAGCTGCTGAAGTATGATGAAGCACGCTGAAGCTGCTGAAACACGCGAACATGGTGAAACATGCTGAAGCATGATGAACACGCTGAAACACGCTGAAGCATGATGAAACACGCTGAAGCACGCTGAAGCATGCTGAAACACGCTGAACACGGTGAAACATGCTGAAACACGCTGAAGCATAATGAAGCACTCTGAAGCTGCTGAAGTACGATGAAGCATGCTGAAGCTGCTGAAACACGCGAACACGGTGAAAAATGCTGAAACACGCTGAAGCATAATGAAGCACTCTGAAGCTGCTGAAGTATGATGAAGCACGCTGAAGCTGCTGAAACACGCGAACACGGTGAAACATGCTGAAGCATGATGAACACGCTGAAGCATGATGAAACACGCTGAAGCACACTGAACACGCTGAAACACGCTGCTGAAGTATGATGAAGCTGCTGAAACACGCGAACACGGTGAAACATGCTGAAGCATGATGAAACACGCTGAAGCATGCTGAAATACACTGAAGCAAGCTAAAGCTGCTGAAACACTGAAGCAAGCTGAAACACATTGAAGCATAATGAAGCATGCTGAAGCTGCTGAAACACACTGAAGCAAGCTAAAGCTGCTGAAACACACTGAAGCAAGCTAAAGCTGCTGAAACATACTGAAGCAAGCTGAAGCTGCTGAAACTCACTGAAGCAAGCTGAAGCTGCTGAAACACACTGAAGCAAGCTAAAGCTGCTGAAACATACTGAAGCAAGCTGAAGCTGCTGAAACACACTGAAGCAAGCTAAAGCTGCTGAAACATACTGAAGCAAGCTGAAGCTGCTGAAACACACTGAAGCAAGCTGAAGCTGCTGAAACACACTGAAGCAAGCTAAAGCTGCTGAAACATACTGAAGCAAGCTGAAGCTGCTGAAACACACTGAAGCAAGCTGAAGCTGCTGAAACACACTGAAGCAAGCTGAAGCTGCTGAAACACACTGAAGCAAGCTGAAGCTGCTGAAACACACTGAAGCAAGCTGAAGCTGCTGAAACACACTGAAGCAAGCTAAAGCTGCTGAAACTCACTGAAGCAAGCTGAAGCTGCTGAAACACACTGAAGCAAGCTGAAGCTGCTGAAACACACTGAAGCAAGCTAAAGCTGCTGAAACACACTGAAGCAAGCTGAAGCTGCTGAAACACACTGAAGCAAGCTGAAGCTGCTGAAACACACTGAAGCAAGCTAAAGCTGCTGAAACACACTGAAGCAAGCTAAAGCTGCTGAAACACACTGAAGCAAGCTGAAGCTGCTGAAACACACTGAAGCAAGCTAAAGCTGCTGAAACACACTGAAGCAAGCTGAAGCTGCTGAAACACACTGAAGCAAGCTGAAGCTGCTGAAACACACTGAAGCAAGCTAAAGCTGCTGACACACACTGAAGCAAGCTAAAGCTGCTGAAACACACTGAAGCAAGCTAAAGCTGCTGAAACACACTGAAGTAAGCTAAAGCTGCTGAAACATACTGAAGCTGCTGAAACACACTGAAGCAACCTGAAGCTGCTGAAACACACTGAAGCAAGCTAAAGCTGCTGAAACACACTGAAGCAAGCTGAAGCTGCTGAAACACACTGAAGCAAGCTAAAGCTGCTGAAACACACTGAAGCAAGCTAAAGCTGCTGAAACACACTGAAGCAAGCTGAAGCTGCTGAAACACACTGAAGCAAGCTAAAGCTGCTGAAACACACTGAAGCAAGCTGAAGCTGCTGAAACACACTGAAGCAAGCTGAAGCTGCTGAAACACACTGAAGCAAGCTAAAGCTGCTGACACACACTGAAGCAAGCTAAAGCTGCTGAAACACACTGAAGTAAGCTAAAGCTGCTGAAACATACTGAAGCTGCTGAAACACACTGAAGCAAGCTGAAGCTGCTGAAACACACTGAAGCAAGCTGAAGCTGCTGAAACACACTGAAGCAAGCTAAAGCTGCTGAAACACACTGAAGCAAGCTAAAGCTGCTGAAACACACTGAAGCAAGCTAAAGCTGCTGAAACACACTGAAGCAAGCTGAAGCTGCTGAAACACACTGAAGCAAGCTAAAGCTGCTGAAACACACTGAAGCAAGCTGAAGCTGCTGAAACACACTGAAGCAAGCTGAAGCTGCTGAAACACACTGAAGCAAGCTAAAGCTGCTGACACACACTGAAGCAAGCTAAAGCTGCTGAAACACACTGAAGCAAGCTAAAGCTGCTGAAACACACTGAAGCAAGCTAAAGCTGCTGAAACACACTGAAGCAAGCTAAAGCTGCTGAAACACACTGAAGCAAGCTAAAGCTGCTGAAACACACTGAAGTAAGCTAAAGCTGCTGAAACATACTGAAGCTGCTGAAACACACTGAAGCAAGCTGAAGCTGCTGAAACACACTGAAGCAAGCTGAAGCTGCTGAAACACACTGAAGCAAGCTAAAGCTGCTGAAACACACTGAAGCAAGCTAAAGCTGCTGAAACACACTGAAGCAAGCTAAAGCTGCTGAAACACACTGAAGCAAGCTGAAGCTGCTGAAACACACTGAAGCAAGCTAAAGCTGCTGAAACACACTGAAGCAAGCTGAAGCTGCTGAAACACACTGAAGCAAGCTGAAGCTGCTGAAACACACTGAAGCAAGCTAAAGCTGCTGACACACACTGAAGCAAGCTAAAGCTGCTGAAACACACTGAAGTAAGCTAAAGCTGTTGAAACATACTGAAGCTGCTGAAACACACTGAAGCAAGCTAAAGCTGCTCAAATACGCGAACACGGTGAAACATGCTGAAACATGCTGAAGCACGCTGATGCACTTTGAAGCATGCTGAAGCATAATGAAGCACACTGAACACGGTGAAACATGTTCCAGGTCAGTTATCTGATGGTTGACATCCGTTCAGTTCCTCATCAGTCGTGGCATCCAGCTGATCCTAAACCTCTGAGTAACTTGTGCGTAACTTATCCAGAACTTCTCTCCAACGCATATCAACGTTTCTGACGTGTTCCAGACGAGCGCTGAACGTGTTTCTAACTTAGGCTGCTGTCACACCCTGCCGATTTATCCATTGTCTGCCTGATGTCCCAGAATCTCCTAAACACTGGTATACGCTGAACTTTCTATGGATTATTTTCTATTCTGGGCGTAAACATAGAGTACTTGAGTCCAGAACTTTTGTCCAACGTCAGGCTAACTTATGCAGAACGCATGGCAGCGTTATGAAGCATCAGTTAAAACTGCTCCCCTCAGGCGAATCGCTGCTCCTGACAGGAGCTCCTCATGCGGTCAGTCATCCAGTCATTGCTGGCCGGGCGGACAGGGTGTCTGCCTCACTCACTAAAACTGGTGGTTGGTTCCACAGGAGAGGAGCATCTAAATTATGGATCATCTGTGGAATCAGGGAACCGGTTTGTTCTGAAAAGATCCGTAACAAAATGTTCATCCTTTTGTTTCTGCAGGAAGTGATAAAGTGGAAGAAGAGAAGCTGATTCAAGAATGGTTCACCCTGGTTAACAAGAAGAACGCTCTAATCCGACGGCAGGATCATCTGCAGCTGCTGTAAGGCGTCTTTTTAGGGTCCGTCAGACAAGCTGCTGCCATATGGAGTCAATTCTGTTCCATTATCAACTGAAATAAAAAATTTATTAATTAATCTTAATCAAAAACAGGTTGCTGTTTTCTCAGATTTTATTTTCTTCTATATATTTGTTTTTGACTATATGGTTTTTTTTAAATTAGTTTTACCGTATACATTTTAAATATACATACATTATTTTTTCCAAATTTCTGTTTAAAGGGTTAGGGTTTACGTATTTCACTCTACAGATTTCATTGTCTTCATTTCTGGGGGTGGGCTTTCTTTCACAAGGAGTGAAGGAGCATTTTTATTGGTCAAGATTCAGCGTTTGGATTCGCTTGATGTGAAGAAAATTTGAGCTGGAAAACGCAATTTAAAAAGAGCGCATTTTGTAAAACTCAACCTGAAATAAGACTTTTTTTTTATAGGTGAAATGATAAAATCTGCTTAAAAAAAAGGAAATATTAAGTTTGACAAAATTTTATTAGAAATTAAAATATAAAAGAAATTAGAAACTTAAAAACAATCTGAGAAAACAGTAAACATTTAATTAGGAAGTGTGTCAACATTTATGAAACTAAATTCACTCCATACTAAGACATGTTAAATATACTTTTATGAATCAACAAACCTCCCAGCAGCGGTCAAATGTTCTCCTTCCGGGTCAGAGGTCGCGTTCTGAAGCATGGATCATGGCCGTTTCTCAATCAGTGTACTTGTGCGTTCTCGTGTCCTCGTGAAACATCATCATCCTCAGCCCTAGTGCTGTTCCAGTTCACAAGAACAGCAGACCGAGAACGGATAAAGTCCCCGGATGTTGTTCTGGCCCCTCCCTCTTTACCCAGCATGCATCAGAGCATCTTGTCCGTCCTCCAGACTGACAGCTGTCCCAGCATGCACTGCGGCAGCAGCTTCCAGGTTAGCGCTCACAGAGCTCAGTGGATTAAGTTAAAAGTTCTCCTTTCTGTTGTTCAATAAAAGTACGTTTTAAGATCATTAGAGGTGAAAATATTATACTTTAAGCTTCACTTTATGGAAGATTTACTGATTTAATGCGTGAAGTTCTGATGTTGAGAGGACCGTGGAAACCAGCGGACATCCGAGGCTAAAGGCAGCCAGGGCTAACGTTAGCAGCCGGGGCTAACGTTAGCTCAGAATGCAGCAGCGTCTCTCTGTGACGGACCGCCGGCTCTGATGGAGGATTGTTTTATGTTGCAAATTGTTAATTGATTTGTGTTTTTCTGACTGTGTTCATTATTATTTCTCCAATAAATGAAGAAGTCATATTTTATTATTATCTAGAGGTTATTAATTACAGGAGGTGAAATGCAGCTCCAGACTAGCTTTGAATGTGGTGATGTCATCAGTACGCTTCTTTTCCAGTTGACCCAGATTAATGCTGCGTGCTCCCGTTCTCCCAGAGTCCAGACTTTCCTGTGTTCTTCTCAAGAACATAATTGGCGAGAACACGAGTCCGTACTTGCGTTCTAGTGAATCGAGAAACGGCCATGAACTCCATCATATCAAGCTTTGGAGCGCCCCCTAGCTGTGACACCTGTCAGATCAGCTTAGCTAGTGAAGCATCTTTTCTTCATCATCAACAGGCTGGAAGAACAAGACCTGGAAAGACGTTTTGAGCTGCTGACCAAGGAGCTTCGAGACATGATGACGATCGAAGGTAAACCAGGAGATCATCATTAACCTTTTTAAGATCGGACCTTTAGGACTGGGCGATACGATGAGTTTAAAAGGCCATTGGAGATGAAAGAGGAGAAAAAAAGGAGTGATTTTCTACCAAATTTTAAAATTCATTTAACATATTTTCAAGAAGAAACTAAGGAATTATGTTAAAATGTCATACATTTATTATTAAAGGAAAAAAAACTTCAATTTAATTCAATTCAGTTTATTTATGTAGTACCAATTGACAACAGATGTCATCTCAAGGACTTTACAGTTCATCAGATCATCAGATCGAATGAAGCAGAATGATGAAAAAGGCGTCCCTATGTCCTCCAGCAGTCTAAGCCTATAGCAGCAGAACTATAGAGATAGATCAGGATAACCTGAGCCACTCTAACTAGAAGCTTTATCAAAGCTTATAGCTTAAACTTATAGTAACTTGAATCTTCTTAACATTAGAGATTTTCCCTTTTTTTCTAAAAAATATGTTGAATGAATCTCATAATTTAAATGTTTTTCGCAGAAGTTTTCTCCTCTTTTCTTTCTTCGCCGCTCTATAATACTCTGTCAGGGATCATCTTCACCAATTCTGAAAATATCTCCTCTGTCTCATCGCTGCTCCTCTCGCCTCAGACTACCAGAAGACCCAGGCCCACAAACACAGAGAGCAGCTCCTGCTCCAGGAGCTGGTGTCTCTAGTCAACCAGAGAGACCAGCTGGTTCACAACATCGACGCCAAAGAACGAGGGTGAGAGAAACAGACGCTCCCATTGGTTAGGAGCAGTGAAGCATCTTCATGCCTTCAGAACAAAGACTTTACAGTCAAACATAACAGATATTTATGTCTTTTTGAACAAAGGATGTGTGTTTGGGAGAATGTAGATGAAGCTCTTTCCAACAATCTAAAGCATGGCGGTGGCAGCATCCTTCTGTGGGACTGGTGCTTTGCACAGAAGCTAGCCACAAATGATCAGCGAGACGATTCAAAGGTTTTTTTTTTTTTAGCTGGATAATGATGCCAAAGACCCGTCAGAAGCGCTGTAGGTACCAGATTTGCTCGGGGCCCCGCCCCTTCTTATGATGTCATCACACAGGAAGTCCACTCAGACGAACTGTATTGCACCCATTTCTGAAACTCGTAAGGAAGCGGCCGTTCCAACCGTTCCATTTCCGAATTCTCCCAGTGGTGCCCGACTTTACACGAGTGAATAAAGTGAATGTGATTGGTCGATTATCAAGGGGGCGGGATTGTTGTGGCGGAAGGCATCTTGCTAACCAGTTAGCAACTTAGTGCTAGCAGGTTCCCAATGGGAAATTCCATTGGGATCAAGTAGCACTAAATTGGTGACTTAGAAACGACGCTGTCAAGGAACGCTATGGACAGCGGAAACATGCAAGAGGAGGAGAGTTTAGTGTCGGAGGTCGTGGATGAGTCTCCTCCGTCATCCATTTTTTATTTAGAGGAGGAAAGCGGGGACGAAGATGTTGTGGAAGAGGACGCCAGGGCGGCAGAAGCTTGGTTTGGTGTAGAAGGCTTCCAGCCGTACATGTTTGAGCCCTTGCCTCGCAACGCTGCCAGTTCTGTTAGCTCTACGCCTGCCGAAGACACAGACGTCCATCCCCGTGAACACTGGGACGCAACTCAATGGGAAAGGAAAGGATTCTGGTTTCAACCGTTGCGTATATTAGCTGCGACACATGAATCAAGATGCTATGACCGAAAACATTTGATTGACAGATGACCGTTGATCTATGATTGGCCGAATTTAGGTGTTCAGGCTGACGTAGAACTAACTGGCCTGCAGAAGATAACGGAAAAAAAACACTGATTTAAGACAGAATGTTTTTTTTTTAAATAGACATTTTCTAAATTTTGGGACAATATGGTCTGATAAAGAGGGCATTTATACACATGTTTAAGCCAGAATGATTTGACATTTAGATATGACTTCCCTACAACTTTAAGGATCAAATCTCTTCTGGAGTCTCAACATATTATTTCCTATATTTGCTTTTATTTTACATTTTATTGTTGATCTAAAGTAGCCGAAAGTAGAAAACAATCATTCTAAGTCTTGAAGAAAAGTCCTGCCCTCTAAGACAGACTGAGCTCTGCCATTTACACAAGGTGACAGAAAAGACTCAGCTTAGTTTTATTATTTTTATTAATATCTGAGCGCAGAGGAGGACAGATGGAACATCTTAAAAATAAAACAGTTATTCTACTTGTAGAAAATGAACGTTTGTTGTTGAAACAAATTCAAAAGTAGTGTAGCTTAATATGGCTAACTGACTGAGCTAAAAGAGGGAACTAGCTGTGGGTCTAGATATGGCCGAGGCGGGGATCCAGGTGGAAAATGGCTCCCAGCGTTCTCACGCACCTCGCTCCTCTAGCTGGTCAATCTTCACCAGTCGTTTTCCACAATGGCGGCCATACAAAAATAACAAGCCGGTAAGGAACCAAACAGGAAATACACATAGTGCAGAGCAGATGTAGATCTGACCAATCAGAGGCCTCCTGTCTGCACCAGAGGGGCGGCGCATAGCTGTGTTAATTGCGACACACACGCAGACGACCTGGTTTCTGAGTATAAACCAGCAGTATTACGTTAAATTCGTTGCCTGGGCAACCACAATGTTTTACATCATGTGGCGACGTTCAGCCAATCATGTAGCGTAACGTCACTGGATGAAGCAGATCTGGTAGCTGCAGCGGGTCAGAACCAACCGCAGCCTGTTAGAGGTTCATGGAGCCTTAAAGAGACAAACACCAAACCAGCTTAGCTACCCTTTATAGGGAACTCAGGGAAATACTGTGAAAATTTTCCAGCCAGTAGTGTTACTGGAAAAGACCTTATTACCTTTGTAACATTCAAAAAAATCTGGGATATTTTGATGGATACAAATTAATGTCAATATAATAACAAGAAACGCCAACTTGATTGAATATATGAAGAAAAATAACAAAACAAATAACAAAAATACTCTGGTAAAAGTGGAAGTACTGATTAAACTTCTTTACTCAAGTAAAAGTAACAAAGTACAGGCTTGTAAATTTACTTAAAGTATAAAAGTAAAAGTAGAAACCACTTTTTTCATGCCGTTGCCTACATTTTAAATGGATGTCTGCCAATAGGACTAGATCTCCGTTGTGTTCATTTTCAATCATCTCGTCGTCCATGCTACTATGCTAACGCCACCGCCACCAAGCTGCAATGATTTGCCGCCAATGAATCCGAATCTGTGGATTCATCTTGTAGTGGTGCGTCAAATGCAACGTAGATTCCCATCCAATTAGATTGAATTTGGTATTGATGACATGAAAAATAATAACGATAACTCCATTGAAATGATTCAAAACTAAAGTAACGAGACAATTTTTAAAATGTAAGGAGTAGAAAGTACAGATATTTGTGTAAAAATGTAAGGAGTAGAAGTAAAAAGTCGCCATAAAAATAAGTAGTAAAGTAAAGTAAAAATATCAGAAAAATCTACTTGAGTACAGTAACTAAGTATTTGTACTTCATTACTTCCCATCTCTGGATGTGAGGGATAAAAAACGCCCTTTAAAGGAAAGTCAGGTCAGCCAGGAATGATCAATGGATCAATATTTATACCTAAAACTAATACGTTTGCGGTGATTTAATGAATTTATCGTTAATCACTTACCTCCTCAATTCAAGAAAAAAATGACTTAATGAGATATTATTTTTTTGCAGGTTCTTATCAATTTTTTGTTTCCAAAATTGGGACAAATCACTGCACAGCCAAGCAGGGTCCAGTTCCTGGGACCAGTAGCCCTAACCTGAGTTCACTGGGCTTTTTACACTGCAAAACACTGAATTCTAAATAAGTGCAATTGTTCTTGAATTGAGGAGGAAAGTGAGAAAATTGGCCAACAGAACAAGACAATTTACATTTGAAATAAGAAAAATTTAAAGCGCATATTATCTAATTTTCTTATTTTAAAGGTAAAAATACTCCATTGGCAAACTACCTCATTTACCTGCTCAAATTAAGAGTAAATACACTTAATGTGAGAACATTTTTCCAGTGTTGTTTTTACCATATATGCTGCAAAAACAATGTAGAAGTGTATTAACCCTTAATATAAGCAGGTAAATAAAATGATTTGCCAATAAAATCAGGATTTATACTCTTAGAATAAGATAATTAGTTAATATGCACCTGAAATAAGACAAAGCAGTTCTTATTTTAAATGTTGTAAATTGTCTTCTTCCATTGGCAAAACGTCTCACTTTCCTCCTCAATTAAAAAAAAAATGCAGTTATTTTAAGAAGGAATCAATTATTGAGATTTCTTTTTTTTGTAGTTTAATTTTGAACATTCTGAATATGTTTTATAATAAACGATTTTGTGATTGTTTTTGTTTTTAGAGCTCTGGAGGAAGACGAGCGTCTGAACCGCAGCCTTGAGCAGCGAAGGAGGAAGTACGCCAAGGAGCAGAAAGAAAAGTGCGTCGTTCAGTGAGGAAGAAGCCAAACTCTGGAAAACTGAGCCATATTTTTAGGAACCCAGAGACAAATCTGTGATTTTTAATTTTTTCTGCAAAAAGTCAAAACCAGTTTGAGCTCCCGTTCCCACTGGGGTTTCACCTCTTTGTGCCTTTTTTAGATTAAAATCCTTCGGAAGGATTACGAGAGGAGAAAAAAAGAAACTTCACGGGTCAAAGATGTTTTTAAAGAAAATCTTTTTATTTATTTTCTCTAAGTTACTGAAGTGAAACGTTAAAGTGGTTTTTATTTAAATGTTAAAGCCATAAAGAGAGTTTCCAAAGATTTTAAGAAAAACAGCATCGACACTTTTATTGTTTCTACGTTTCTTTGCTCTGAAAACAAGTGACTCCATTTTTGAAAAAAAGAGAAAAAAATCATTTATCTTTCTGTAACAGGATACATTTAATATTTTAAGTATTTGTGGTTTTTATGAGATGTTTCTTCTTATAGTTTGTCTGAATTTCTCTCTCGTTGAGGTTTGTGTGTTTTTTTTGAGACTTTAGTGTCAAATTTGCACTGTTTAGAAATACAAACCATCTGAACTCTTTAACGCTTTGCTTCTTTTTCTTTAATTAACATCCGCTTCATTTTGAAGTAATTCTCGCCTATTTTGCATCCCCAAATGGAAAAGCAAATAACTGAGTCACTGTAAGCCCACATTACATGTGTGATACATTATTTGGAAGTTAACACCTTCTAGTTTCTAAAAAATATAAATAAAAATTGGGTGAGTAAAACACAGACCAAGCTGCATCAGTTCAAACATGACTCAAAGTTTTTTTTTATTCTCTAAAATGATCTTTTTTGAACAGCAGTGATAAAGACCCGCCTGAGAACAGGCAGGTCTCATTTTATTAGATCTGTTCTACATCCTGTCAACCACAAATGCGAAAAATTTCAGACCTCTAGCTGTGCACGTCTGCACTGCATTACATTGTAAGCGTGCCGATGGGAAACTGGTTGAATTGACTATCTGACTATCGGGACAAACTGAACGACCACAATGACCAAATCAGTGGCAGAGCTGCTGATGGAGGCCGCTGCTGCTTTAAAGCAAGTGCCTGCTTCTAAACGACCTGTGGCAACGCCGATTGCTCCTGAGTTTCCCGCCGGCACGCTTACAATGTAATGCAATGTAGACGTGCACAGCGCCCCCTACCAAACAAAATGGGTAGCCCGGTCAGCAAGGACCTGAGGAGGAGCGGCTGCTGACGTCACTCTGCTGCCCCCGCCGCTCAGAATGCTTTTTCGTTTTTGAGTTATGGACAGTACTTTGCAGGCAGACCGTGTAAACGAAAAAGCAATGTCCGCTGTGTTTTCTCCTTGATTATAGCATAAAATGAGCAACCTTAAAGAAGAAAATGTAGATAGGATTATTGATTACTAATTTTATTTATGAGTCAAACAATGCAGCCACATTCTTAAAGTGAAAAAGCATTTCTGGAAATGCTTTTTCATTTTCAAATTTTACATTTCAGATTGAATTTTGGTATGTATTTGCTGGGGTACTTTTTGAAAAATAAATCTCAAATGTTTTTCTCTTTTTCATTTTAATTAAGTAAAAATATGATTAAGGTTAAAGGAGAAAATAAAAATGCAAATAGGATGATTGATTCCTAATTTTTTTCCTTTTGAAACATTTCTGGAAATGCTTTTTCATTTGAAATATGGTAGCGATTTGCTTCCATACATTTCCAACCTTCTTCATTAAATATGTATACGTCTCTTCAGACGAAGAACAATAGCACCCCCTTGCGGTGTAGAATAGGTAAGTACAGTACAGAATACATTCAGTCAGTAATACACATATACCAACACTCCCACTTATGACTGACTTGTATCCTGTACACCCCCCCTTTTTTTTTTTCTTTTAACAATCAGAGTGTCATGGTCGGATTTAGGTTCCTAACCCACATGCAGAACACAACGGAGTCAGAATAAAAGTTCAACTGTTTATTGAGAAAAACACAGAGTTAATAATAAGATACTGGAAACTGGTCCGGGGCTGGTCATACAGGGTTCACTGCAGAGAGGGACAGTTGGGTTAGCCAGGATGCTATTTCTCTTGTCAGAGGAGAAGTGCAGGTCTGTACCTGTTCTGAGGTTCAGGCTGAGGGGCAGAGGGAGGGAACCAGGAGGGTCCAGAGACTGAGGATCAGCAGAGGGCTAGGCAACGGCAGGGCTTGACTAAAGACTTGACGGAGTTCAGATCTTGGGTTTCTTCAAGTTCTCCTCTTGAGAGCAGGCAGGCAGGTTCACAGTTTTATCTTCAGATGTGCTTCTGAAAGCAGGCAGGCAGGCTTCTGTTGAGAAGCTCTTCCTGAGCTCCAGGTTTCAGTCAGGTTCTTCCTAGGAAGCAGAGAGGACAAAAACTGGTTAGGTTCAGATTCAGGTTTTCAGAGGAGTCAGGGAATCAGACAGGTTGGTTGGCTCAGGTCTAGCTGTTACCATTACTGGCTAACACTCTGGCACTGGAGTGTAGTCCTGCTGCTGCTTATATGCTGGTCTCCTGATGAGCAGATGAGAAACAGCTGGTGAAGTCAGTTCCAACTTCAGGAGACCCAGAGCGCCCTCTGGAGGAGAAAGGCAGACAGAACCCAGAAACTGACAGAAAAACAAATCCCCAGGAAGGGATCCTTAGCGCCCTCTGGTAGGCAAGCCTCCGGATCCCAACACAGAGTTGAATCAGAGCATTTTACAGCACATACAGAACTTAACATATTTACAATCCCTCAGATGCTTACGCCAAACATGACTTCGGAAAATTTCTGCTATCATCTCATCTGTAGGACAGTACATTAGTGCCATCTTTAATGGTTGACCTTATAAAATGGTACTTGATGTCAACATGTTTGCACCTTTGTCTGCATACAGGATTCTTCACAAGTGCAATGATGCCCTGGTTATCCTCATAAACAATGGTTTGAACATATTTATAGGAATCCATAGCCTTCAGCAGTTGCTCTAAATAAATACACTCCTGTATTGTTAGAGCTAAAGCCATGTATTCGGCTTCACGTGTTGACAAGGCTACTGTGGGTTGCTTTTTGCTTCTCCAAGATACCAGTGAACTATTTCTGCTCATGCTCACGCAGTAACTAGACGTGCTACATCTATCACTACCGTCTGCGCCCCAATCTGCATCACTGTTTACCCGGAGGCCTAAACCATCACTGCTTTTCTTAGAAGTCAGCTGCTTATCAGTAGTACCTTTAAGATAACGCAGTACGTGTTTCACTGTCACCCAGTTTTCCTCTGTGGGGTTTGCAAAATGTCGTGAAAGCTTGCTTACCACAAAACAAAGGTTGGGTCTCGTACAAGCAGCTAAGTAGATGAGACTACCTACAGCTTCCCTGTATCTCCTCACATCTGCCATCTTAGGCGCACATGGAGTCTCGCGTATTCTGCACTCCTGCATATGCAATCGGTTGAGGATCTTTTCAGCATACCTCTGTTGTGACATTATTACACACTCATCAGTCTGACTGAAGTCTATGCTTATTAAGTATTTCAGCCTAAACATGTTGGAGAGGATTGACTTAACTTGCTCTAGACTTCTCGTGTTGTTCGTTGCGATTGTCAAATCATCCACTCAAATGACTATGATCACCTTCCCTGTCTGCTTTGACTCTTTTTTCTACACACAATGGTCCGCTGGGTTCTGTATGAAGTTGTCACTTATCAGACACTTGTGCAGCAGCTTGTTCCAATTGCGACCCGACTGTTCTGTAATTTACACACTAGGTTGTCCCCCAGTTTTTCATAACCTTCGGGTTGGTCCATGTAAATGTCTCGGTCTATTGGCGCGTGAAGATACGCTGTCTTTATGTCCATTTGGTGTAGTACTAACTTCTCTTGGGCTGCCTTCTGAAAGACTACACCCACACCATCACCACCCTCCTTAAATAGAGTATACCCACCTACCCCCCATTGTCTATCTACCCTCAATTTGGTCAGGGTAAAAATCTGGTTCTCCTCTAAAGACTGCATCTCCTCGTCCATTGCCCTCTTCCATTTACTTACCTGTGGGGATGTCATAGCCTGTTTAAAGGTCAGTGGTACGCCACACACTGCTCGGTAGCAATAGTCAACACTGGTGAATATACCATCATCATCGTCACTATCTCCCTGAGTAACGTAATCACTAAGGTTACTTGGGGGCTTACGATCTCTAGTGGGGTATCTTCCACAGCTTGGGGCATGTGGCATCACCCTTTGGTGATTCTGGACTGTCAGTCTGTACATCTGAGCTCTGAGCACCGGGTTGCCATGTGTCTGTCTTGTCAGTATTTACGATGGGGTCAAATCCTAATTCCTGTCTCTGAGTCTCGCTGTCACATGTGGTCGTGATAAATTTAACCAGTCTGTGTTTCTGCACTTTTCAGTTGTTGCGGTAGTAAACTAGAAAGGCAGAGCTCCCCTTGTCATGCCCTACGAAGAGGCCCTTCTCACACTTGGGATCTAGTTTATCCTTATTTTGTACATACGCATAGCACTCTGATCTGAATTTGTGCATATTGGCTAGATCACACTTCGTCCCTGCCAGTGCTGTGTACGGTGTTGTGCCAATGTGCTCGTTAAAGCATTGGCTTCTGGTGTAGGCTGCTTCCTGTACAGCATAAGGCCATAGGCTCTTAGGTAAGTTACTGTCAATGAGCTTACACCTCGCCATGTCAAAGAGAGTACGCCATTCCCTCTTAGCTATCCCATTTTTGTGTGGGGAGTAAGGACAGGACGTCTCATGTCTGATTTTGTTCTTTCTCAGGAGTGTCTTAAACTCAGTCCGGTTATCTGACCGGATGCACTTCACACTGCCATAAGGCGCCACATCAGCCAGGAACTTTTCAGTAGCCTGTATGGCATCACTCTTCGTTTTGAGAAAGTATGTAAAAACTACTCCTGTGCTCACATCTGTGAAAGATTGCATGTATTTGTAACCATCGATTGCACCATTGGTTACTGGGCCAGCTAGATCAGTGTTTACCAACTCAAGTGGTGTTTTCACCTTGACAGTTGCTTTTCTGTTTTTGGTCTGAGTAAACCTCCCCTCTATACGCACATGACATTCTTTGTCAGGCTTTGCGCTTTGCACCTTTTTGCATGCCTATGGTTACAATCTCCAGTTTCAATATGTCTTCATAATTACAATGCCCAATAATCTCGTGCCAGGTTTTGATATCATGAGTGACATCACACTCGTTTTGCAAGTAGTACATTCTGTCACACACTTGAATGTTAAACCCTGCACTATTAGACGCCACAAGAACATTATTACCTTCTTCGAAAAGTGCCTTGACAACGTGTGCTGTGGCACACTTCACAGAGGAGAGTTCTTGTGGAAATAAAGGGATGTGCAGGGCGTTCTTCAGTCACTATACATCTACGTCTGTTGCTGTCCATGAGACATACTTGTGCGTCTCCTCTGCCTTCCGCCAACCTGAACATCCGCCTCCCGTCGGCCAGCTCCATGCTGTGGCTCTCTGGCTTCAATGAGCTATCAAAGGTTTTGAACCGGAACGTCGCGCCTGTGTCAACGATCAGTCCTTTTTC